TGCCTTAATAGCAGGAGAGGCTGCAGCTATCATGGAGAATGTTAGTGATGATGTTATTGTTGGGAGATGTCTTGTGGTGATGAAGGGTATATTCGGTGCCAATGCTGTACCACAGGTATGTTTTTTGTAACCTCATTGTAAATATAACTGGCAAATTGGAATGGAACTTGGATGGGGGGGGGGGGCATTAATGCATATTTAAAGATTCTGTCAGCACCCATGCCATTTTATTTTTTTATGGATTATATGATTAAAAAATATAATCACTGATCTTACAACTTGATCATACACATTTGCTGTGTTTAGGGGGGGGGGGAGTGCATTAATGCATATTTAAAGATTCTGTCAGCACCCATGCCATTTTATTTTTTTATGGATTATATGATTAAAAAATATAATCACTGATCTTACAACTTGATCATACACATTTGCTGAGTTTGAATGAATTTACCATTTTAACAAAAAGGGGATGTTTTTGACTTGGCTTTTCATGGCTTTTTCAAGAAATATTTCATTATGAAATGAACGGTGAACAGGGTAAAAATAGATAAATAATTGTTAAAGAAAGTTATTAACAAAATGTTAAATTTTTGTCTTGAACACAGCCCAAAGAAACATTAGTGTCAAGATGGAGAGCTGATCCTTACGCTCGAGGATCATATTCATATGTAGCTGCAGGATCATCAGGTAAGGTGAAATTTCTAGACTATGAAAATTAATTATTGTTGTGTTGGTTTAATAATGTCATTATTAATACCCCTTTGTTCTAATTCTAAGTTTCTTACCTATTCAGTGCTTGTTACTAAGTCATTTAATCTTGTTAATCAACATTTTTGTAGGAAATGACTATGACCTTCTTGCCTCACCTATTGCTCACCAAACTGGGGCTGCAGCTCGACTGTTTTTTGCTGGAGAGCATACGATACGCAACTACCCAGCAACTGTACATGGTGCAATGCTAAGTGGTTTCCGGGAAGCTGGGCGCATTGCTGACAAGTTTTTAGGTGCCCCTTATTGTGCACCCCAGGCTAAACCAAATATTATTGTTGTGCCTGATGCCTAGTATAGAGTGAAGTCAGAAAAGTATTTGAAAGATGAGAGAAAGAATCTCAACTTGAATCAAGTTGTCATTTGTGTGATAAGTAATGTTAAGAACGGTATATTTAAATGACCAAAAGTGAAAGCCTTGAGTCAACTCTTCAAAGAATTCTCATTTTCCATGCCGGAATGTTGTATTCAGTTTCCATTAAAAATGTATATTGCTATGTGGTGGCATTTAATTTTACTGCAGCAGTATATATTTATTGTGTTATACATGCCACTACCCTCAAAACAAAAATATCTCATTCCTTATGGATGTCTTATTTTTGAATTTAATCCATGTTCTTGAACAAATCGAAATAACTTCTTTTTTTGCAATTGATTTTTATTTCGTTCAATATCTGTTAGCTGCTAAATTATAAATTAATTGTAACAAATTAAGAAAAAATGCACCCAGAATTTAATAAGATTTTAGTAAAATATTAAAAAACACAAAAAAATAAACAATTATCAAAAATAGATTTTTGACACATCGGGCGAACACATGCCATATGTAGACGCACCACACTAAAGCCCATATAGATTGTAATATAGATTGTAAGTGAGGCAAGAAAAAAATCTTAGCTGAATTGGGCCGTCACTAATAGTCTTAAGGGACACATGATTTCATTGCTATCTTTAAATAAAGAGAGAGTTTTGTCAGGACATATTTGGACTCTTCTGTCACGACACCCATGAGGCGCATTAAGTGGCAAGCATTGGAAATGAGTGATACAACTTTTAAAAAAAATATGTTATTGGTTATGTTTGTCATTTTTAAAGTACATTTATATAATTTAGTAATCTTTCACTGTATTTGCATTTTCTCTGTTGGTTCAAAGAGGATTGTTATTAGATTTATTTTGGGAATGATAGATACAAACTAGAAGCTGTTTAACTTTCTCACAATAGTGGCTGAATTGGTTGAAATTTATTTGAACAAGTTGTTCTGCTAGCACCCTGGAACTGACACAAGAATACAAGTTCTCAGAATATAAATGATAAATATTTCATTTATAATTACTAAATAAATAAAGTAACTAATTTATAAAATGTTGATAATATTTAACTAAAAAATGTGGTCACCTATTCATTATTTGGTATTTTTGATGAGGACTAATGCTGGATTAGACTACCTTTAATAAAAATCTGTGGCAAATGCAATCTTCACCATCAAAAAAAATTAAAAAAATGCCTATATTGTCACTGCTATTTCAGAGATGTTCATTGTCATTTCTTGTAAATATGTACAAATTTTCACAAAATGTATTTTTTATAAAAACAAATAATGCTTTGAAATTATGTGAATCTTATTTAAATCAAATAAGACAAAAATATTATGGCATAGCACAAACGTTTTCAATTCCTGATGTTTTGCCGTTGTAATTAAGTCTTGAATGTAGAAAAAGTACTATTAGAGTAAAATTAATGATGTAATTGTTGTTTTAATGGAAATTAAATTACTCTTTGACAATTTAAAAAAAAATTATCATGTGTAAAATTTAATCATGTTACTTTGATGTCAATAATTAAATAAAAGTTAATTATGTTTGACATAAAGAAAGAGATTCTTTGAATGTTGTGTTGTATAATAAATACATTCATAGTTAGAGAGTAACAACTTTCTGAGGTATTTTTATAGCTCATGGATCAGCGCTGCCTTACCTTTTTTTTGATAGTCTGCACACCTTTAAAATTGTTTGATTAAGTCTTGCACACCTCACAATGCATTTTTAAAATTGGTGTAATAAAAAAAAAAAAAAGACTTCTTTTTAAAAAAAATTGTAGAGAACTGTAGAAATAATTAAAGTTAAACAAACCCTAAAAAACAAAGTTTTTCATATAAATCCCTTATAAAATGAAATATTGATCATTGAAGATCGGGGCTGACAATTTGACAATATGCAAGTAATGCACTTAATAAGAATTCCAATTAGTGCTCCTCACCCCCAGGGTCACTACTGCACATTTTTTTCACATACGTAACTATATTAATATTCTAGTATTTCTAGTGACCCATCTGCTTCACCGCAGATTTAATTTAGAAAAACAAAAGAAAAAAACTATGCACTTGCGATATTTTTTTATAAAGAATAAATTAGCGCAAATATCAGGAAAAGTATTCTTTCTTATTCTTCCCCTTGAAAAACAGGGGAAAAATGAATTTTGGGGGGTGGGACATAAAATTTTATAGAATGTGTTGTCAGTGGCAACGAGTCTGTTCTAAGTTTCAGGTTGATAGTTTATTGGGAAGTGGATCAATTAGCCGTCCGAAGATTTAGCCAGCCACCCACAAACGAAAGCAAAGTTAATCAAAAAGTATTTTAAAATAGATTTTTGACATTATTTAAAGTAAAATGTTATTGAATAAAATAATGAAAACATATCAATAGCTCCCCAGTTCTTATAATCCCTTTGCCTCTCCTCCCCTGAAATTCCACCTTGTCATAGACAGACCACAGGTAAAGGATCACTCTTAAGTCTCAAAAATTGATATAATTTATCCAGGACACTGATCTCAAAGGTTTTGTGTGTTGTCATTATTTCAGTACTATGGGGATCTTCCATTTCCTTTTTTTAAGGTTCCATTATTTGATAAACTATGGTAAAATAAAAGCCGAATTGCTGTAGACTAATTTCAAACAACTGATTGTTAAATGGCATGTTTTGTGTTCGAAAATAAATATTCTAAGTAAGTCACCCACAAGAGTAAATGATAGATATACCAAGTTAAAATGTTTCATAAAGTGGATGAGACTGGATATTTCCTTTCTCTCCTCAAATACGCTCTAACTCCAGGCTCCAAGTTTACACCAATTAATACTTAAGAGGTCATATCCTATTTCAAATTTAATCTGTTTTTTTCATACGTTAAATGATACATAAACTCAAACAACTCCATCCTTACCATTAGCGAAAAAGGGGGTGGGGGGGGTGGGGCAATTTTTGGGGGAGTTTGTGGCTTATCATTTTTGGTCTATTGCAACACGAAGAAAATATTTTCTTCTCCACTCTCTCGTACCCCCAACCTACTCTTTCTCACCCACCATGCACGGTTTATGTCCTAATAAAGTTATAACGGGTGTGATTTGCAAACACACCTGCCCCAAACCTTGTACACATTGAAGGTGTCAAAATAAAAAAAAATACGACTGCCATATAGTCTACACGGCATAAAATAATTTTAAAAAATTAAAATCTATCTCTCAACTTTCAGTTTTCTTAAAAACCGTTCCCCTCTTACCCATAAAAACAAGTGAAAGCTGAAACTACACTACTACAGGTTGTAATTGTAAGATACAAATATCCGGTACTCATTAGAATTTTAAATTTAAGTGTGTGACTGGCGCCTGGCTTAAATTTCTTTTTTTTTTTTTATATCCAAAACAGCTTGCGAGGAACGCTACTGGCTGTTTTGTTTCATACTCAATGATACTATGTGTTGTGTTAATCATGTGTCAGTGTCATAAGTCATAAGGTCAGTGCATCGACCCTGATATCTTGCATTGTGAGGCAATCAATAGTTAAAGTATCTGGGGCAGGTTTTATTGCTGTTGTGGAGAACGCAAGTGCCACAAGTAAACAAGGGATTTTTTTTTTCACGGGGTTTACAACAGAAAATAATCGCCCTTGTCTGGTATCAGTAGAGGCGGTCGAGTCCAATTACGCTGTTGTTGTGAGCGTTGCTATGGTGAGGCAAATCGGATATTTTTGTTTCGTTTTCTTCAACGTTAAAGATTTTATTACTTTGTATATATAAAATTATTTTAGCTATATTTATAAGATGTAAAGTATATAAGATACAAAATAAAGTATAAAACAAATTAATATCACAATTAATTTATTTAACGAAGATAATTATCTAACTGTATTCACAACCATTGTCATTATTCCTTACCAACCCAAACCCTAAGGAAGGCGCGCTAGCAGACGATTAGCAGACCGTGGCGGCGTGCTTAGATACCACTGAACCAGCAATAAGGGGGGTTAGACAACGACCAAACTTTTATTTAGCCAGTCAACAAATGGCAGCCGTCTAGAAGTGTTGATTGAATCTTTTTGAGAGGGTTTCAAGCGTAAGAAACTTTATAAAGTAAAATAAAAATGGAAGATGATGGCGGTCCTGGTGAAAAAGAAGCCAACAAAGGTGATAGTCCCAAGCCAGATACAATCACAGAGGATAATGAAGTCGCACCCCCACTTATAAATACAGACCAAGGTTAGTAAATAAATATCTCTTGAAAGAATGACTGAAAGTTTGGCATCTTGATCAAGTGAACTCTTTCCTATGGTCATAAATATTAAAAAATACAAATAAGGCAAATATTTCAAATAATGTTGGCAGCCTGTTGCACTGTTGTATAATTATTTTATAATCATTATAATAAAACCATAATTGGCTTAATAATGGCTAATAATGTAACTGTATTAATAATGAATATTAATATTAATGATTAAATGTTAATGTATTGGTTATGTATGGCTGATAGGCTATCCTTATTAAGTAATCTTATTATAGTTATAAACATATTCTATCTAGTAATTTATATTGTATGTCTATAAAAATAGACATTATTTATAGCAGTGGTCCCCAAATGGCGGTCCGTTGACCTTCACCGATCCGCATGCCTAACGCTGACGGCGACGGTCCCCATAACATAAATATTTATTGTCAAATAGAAATAAAAGTATACAAATAAATCATGCACCGGACCCTGGTAAAATTTCTAAACTTGTTCACCGGTCCGCCAAACTTTAAAGTTTGGGAACCACTGATTTATAGTATAGTTAATAACTTATTAAAGCTAAATGAGGATTGTTCATTAAAAAATTTAATTAAATTATATTTCTTTTCAAGGTTTCCTTACACTTACACTCTTACACCAAATCCATATTATATATATAGGCCCCTATATTAAATATATAGGCTATATATATATATATATTTATATATATATATTTATATATATATAATATCTAATATATTTTATTTGATTATTAATGATTAGATTTTACTTTGAACTGGTAATTAAAATCCTACCTAAGTCTCTCCTACTAAAGACCTACTCCAAGAATTATTGTCTCAGAAAATTAAATAACATTAACATCACCCGTATTTAAATAAATAAGTTAACTTCCTTTCATTGAAATAAAGCTGAGTATATTCAAACACAGGGTTCCCCACAATTAAAAATAACCTGAATCATTAAAAAAAAATTAGGTTAGTAATTTATAGCATAGCAAGCAATTAAGTTCATTACTTAACATTACGCTGTTCAAGATTATAGTATACTGATTATAATTATATTTGTACTAGATATCCCAAAATTTGTTGCTTAAAAAAAAATCATATAAATTTCTCAGTGAACTGCATTAGGATTTCAGCCCTGCAGTTTTACGTTAAATAGTGATGTCAGATGAAAAGGGAAGCTAAACAATGTTAAACATTGTATCTTTAGTTGGTTGGTGAATCTGTCCTATTATATTTTCTCCAGATTTCTTTCTTTAATTACTAATCATAATCCATACCATTTCAGTTATTATTATTATAACCTAACTTTATAGTATTTATCCAAGTTTTTCACTCAATGCCTACATTTACTGCACTGTTTTTTCTCTGGAAATTATCAAACAATTGATCCTGTTTGAACTCATAATTCTGCAACATGTCCTTATTAAGTTAAGTAGAAATTGAGCTTTATTTTGTTCTATGAGTTTGACAGAGAAGCAATTTTTTTTTTTTAAAGTACTATCTTTGCTAAACTGTCTTTAAAAAAATTCTAGTTCAAGTTCATCTAGTTTGTTTAAAAATATTTACAGCTATATATTTTACTAAAGCAATGGTGTCATTTACAAAAAATGTTTGTAAGGATTAAAAGCTGATTACGGGCTTTAAAATAGTCATTAACTCAAGCTAATAAATGCATTGTAAAAATAAAATATCCAAAATATTTTATCTGTGTTTCTGATATACGGTACATATGATTTTTAGTTGCTAAAAATAAATATTACTTTTTCAAAAAAAATATTTTAAAAAATAATAAAATAGTCATTAATTAAGATTTTAAAAAATTAGACTTTTTTGTGTGTAAATTTTGTCAGAGTTTTCAATTCTTTTGGTTTCTTAATATCATTGGGAAGATTGGAGAATAAGATCTCACCACACGAAGGGACCATAATTACAAAACTAATGTCTTAAGGAGCTTTTGTTCACAAGCTGAGTCTGACAGCTACTGTTCTTTTTGTATCCATAAGGCTCTCAGCCCAATTGATTTATTCTATACAACTTCTTGTAGCCAATTTTTGACAGGAAATAATCAGCATATTGATTTTTTCCAAGCTATCACAGAGTTTCTCATTTTAGACTCAGAACAAAAGCAAGGTCTTCCAGCTTTTTCTATGACCATTTGATTATGTATTTCATATAAATAAACCATGACTTTCTTTAACAATGCATTATTATCTAAAGCAAAACAAAATTAAACTGTCATGGAATACTTGTGTTATATTAAAAACAAAACTGAAAATAGCAATAATGTGTAGTAATCAGATCATAGCTGCTAATTTTTATGAATTTTCTTTACTCTACTAATTTTTGGCATCTTTTGATATAGAAGACCTATATCTACTCACAATTTTGGTTTTTATTGATTGTTTTTTGTTGTTTTAATTTTTTTTTTTACGAAACACCTTTTTTGGTAATGTGTTTGTAGTGACCCAGCATTTTAGCTAGCAGATTTAGTAAGAAGAAAGGGTACACACCTGGTGGCACTTTTGATCCACTGCAACATTAAGATTTTTTTTCTGTCAGGATAGTTAGAGGATTCATGTCCACAGCAAATTTCAGAAATTTTCAACTGGGGTAAGAACAAGTGAACCAACTTTTCCAAGCTCAACCAAGAAAACCATTCACATTATATGGCCAGTAAGGGAGTTACAATCTAAAGAGCCAGGGAAGCATGCAACACTCTTAATAAGATATGGAAAACAATCAAACAAAGCGGAAAATATTGAGTTTAATGTTCTTCTGTGCTTGCAACATGCTAGAAATAAAATATTTTGAAAAGATCCCAAGATGGGATCCTGATGAGTAGGAAATACAAATAAGAAATGGAGATGAATGGGCCATACTTTTAGAAAACAAAAATTATATATTACATGACTATCTCTGTCATGGGATCCACAGTGCAATAGAAAGAGAGATTGATCCACAATTGGAGAAAGCAACTCAATATAGAGAGAGAGAAAAGGCCAAGAAGTGGAATGAGCTGGCAAGTATAGCTCAGAACAGATAAATGGGGGAATAAATTTTATGGGGCCTATACACAGCAATGAAACAAATAAGGCAAAGAAGACTTCCTAAAGACCACTCCTGGGGAGGTCATGGAGGATTGGAAAAATTTTATTTATTTATTTATTTAGGCATTTTTATATAGCGCTTACCTTAAAGTTCTAAGCGCTTTACAATTATTAAAAACATGTAAACTAACTAAAATAAAAATGAGACAATAGGATAGTAACTACTATACTATAGAAACAATTAAAATGGCTATAAAACGAGGACACAATTTACAATTTTCTTTCAAAAAAGTGCATTTTCACTTATGTTTTATTGTTTTAAGATGTGAAAAAGAAAAAGATGACAATGACATGTGTTAAATTAGTAGTGTATTAAGCATTTAAGCAAATATTTTAGGATTTTAAATAATTTGTATATGTGTACATGGCTATCAACATGAAAATATAGGGCACATTTTAAAATGTACAGTTGTCAACATATTATACAGTTTACAACTAAAAAGATTGAGCACAAAATGTTGTGAACGTGTATTTCTGCCACTAATTGAAAACCCATTCTTTGACCACCCTGTATCCTTAAGAAAACATATGCCATTATTTGTTAAGCACACTTGTTGACTTCGATTGGTCTAAATGTTTCACTGAGCAAGGGACATAATTCAACACTATATTTTCTTGTCCCCCCTTGTTGAATGCAAATCTCTCAGATTAAATACCCTTATTGGATTTTCGTTCATAGTCTCCTGGGGGTCTGTTCAAACAAATCCAGTCCATTTCTTTTCTAGGGCATGGTATGGGAGAATCATTCCAATATCAGTCATACCTAACAGCTGAATATCAAAGACAAATCATTGCATCCAGTTAGAAACTATTATAGCATTTGTACAGAGAATAGCTTTACATTATTATACTTACAAAGCCTGGGTTCTTATTCAGCACCACAGATGACGTAAGCAATTACAATAAAGCTGTTACATTCCTTATCTCCTGAGGCACAAATTTCAGAACTAGATTACACATTCTATCATACATTAGAGCATAATGGAAAAGGGTGTAATAAATTTAAAGAAACTTAAACTTCGTATGGTTGATATATTCTATAGGTTTGTTACATTTAACACAAGTCAGTGTTAAATGTTACATTTTTAATTGAAAATGTGGAAATTAAATCAATAATTTCATTTCCAAGATTTAAAGCTATGACATTTAAAAAATATTGAGCTCATTTACACAAAATCCATTTTCTGTGTACTTTTGTATGAGGTACTTCTGGTTCTAAACCACCATGATGATGAAGAGCAAATTTATTAAAACAATATTTGTCATAATGCATTCAACTCACACAGGATTATTGGGATATCTCCCAGTTAATTTCTGTTTTGGTGGCTTCCCAAGTAAATCTATCCAAACATTTTAACTATCGTTCTTATCTCAGATAACTCACATTTCACAGATAAAATTAATGCAGTTTGTCTGAACTAGTTGACTTTTCTAATCTCTTAAAGCTCTTTTATAAAACCATTGTGATGTGTGCTTTAAAAAACAGTGCGAAGAGGAAATCCAGTTATCTTGATACAATATAGTCCCTTTTTGGCATAAAAACATGGCTTTTGAGGCCATTAACAATAAAAAATTCTTGTATTATTTTACTAGGCATCTTAGGTTTAAATGTAGATAAATGATTTGGGTGCAGTGTATGTGATTGATGCAATAGAGATCTCAATAAAGCTGAATAGAAATGGAAAATAAATCCCAAAAGCTGTTGATAAGAATGAATTGATTTCTCAATTATCTACATAGGGCATTTAACATAAGAGGTCAGCTGTGATGTAGCCGGCTTCAAGTCCATCAACTGAATGGGAAATATAAAAAAAGGCATTGCTTAGCTGCACTGTATTTTTAGAGGTGGTGTTCCAAACACGTATTCTCTTCTCTTGCAAAATTGAAGCAGATTCTTTTAATGTACCGTACCGGGTGCTAAATAAAATGTTTTTTAAAGTAATAAAATAGTTGAACAAAGATCACTGGCATACATATGACATCACAAAATATCTAACTACCCCTACTCTTCTACTCTTTAAAGCCTTGCTTTTTCTATAAATTTTGAAAAATAAAAAAATAAATATATATATATATATGTGTATATAGAAATTGTAAGCCAAATTGAAATTTTACAAAATATATATGTCATGTAAAAAAAAAAAGTATCTTTAAATTGTTTTAAAAATTAACTGCTTAAGAATCGTATAACTAAAATTCCTTCCATCATTATTGGATTAGTATTTCTTAATGAATAGGTAACTGATTGGTAGTTTTTACCAGTTTTTCCTGATGGTTCTGCTATTTCTTCCACATGAGGGGCTACCAAAAAGTAAATTATATTTAAATCACACTTCCTGACATGATGTCATGTTACTCATTACTCATTTGTGTCAAATCATATTCCTTTAAGTTCAAGCAAACCATTCCACACATACTTTGTCTCTGTCACACATTTTAGCCCCCCCTCTTCTCCTCTCTGAATGCCTGAAAATACATGTGGGGGAAACCTTACATATTATGGTCTTAAATCACAAACAGGCCTACATTTTAATGACAATTTTTATTTTGTGATATTTTTTAAGCCCCACACACACACACACACACATTTCTTTTTTCTTGATCAGCCCCACCCACATAATCAACATGCTATCTCCTATTCGATCAGTATTAACTATAATGATCAATTGGTCTGGGATTTTATGGCTTTATTGATGAAGACAGCCTTGATTAATACCGGCATGGTCATTGAAGAAATCAATGAATCATTCATTCATTATTCATCTTGTCGTAACTTTCCAGATGCAGAAAGAGACAATGAAAAAGGTGAAAAGAAAACTGGAGGAAAGGTATGATTTAATCAAACTAATATTTTTAAAAAGAAAAGTCAAAATAATCTCATGAAGCTTAGTACATTAGTATGTTATGCGAAAAAAGTCACTTTTTCTATGCCCACCCCCCACCCTTTCCCCTGTGGCACGCATATTTTTTTGGAACCTCCCTCCAATACACACTTACAAGGAGCCTTCAGACCCCCCGCTCCACACATATGACAACACATAATAAAAAAATGTGTCACAGGTTCACCACCGACTGTTAGGCAAGCCCAATTGTTCCCAGAAAAATTCTGTGTCACTTTTGTTATCTCACTGCCCTCAGGCAGAGCCATGAGAGTGGGGCGATGAGGGCAGTAACCCCAGGCGCCAACATCAGGGGTGCCAAAATATACTATAGGTATGATCTTAAAAGTGAATTAAACTGGAAAATCCTGTACTTCAGGAAATTGTCTTTTTACTGGATCGACAGGGACCTCATTTGGGTAGTGCAGAATTTTAATTTGCATATTTTATTTAAATTGCTATGTAATACGGCACCTCCAGTAATAAACAAGTCAACAAGCCAGCCAAGTTATGGTCCCCTTTATCCCCCCCCCCCCTCCAACCTGCAATTATGTTGCTATGTGGGGGTGTTCTTTCTATATATTTAGTTAATTAAGGGGCTCCATTTTCCGGTCTTGCCTTGGGTCACAATTTTTTTCTCAGCATGGCCATGTCACGGGAGGCTTTGACTTCCTCACAGAGGCACTGCAAAATATCACTCACTTTTCAAAATTTTATTTCCACTTCTAATCCAATATGACATCTAGCTGTCCCGATCTTAACAGTAACCCACTTGAGTAACTACTGTTGGCAGTTACCGGGTGCTTGCTGATGCTTAGTGACCTATATAGGTTTTTAATTTATTTTTTCCTGAGCCTTTATTTTATTTTGTTTATGTTTTTTCTATTTCGAAATTTACTTGTTAGAATTTAACACAGGGCATTGTTAGAGGTTGTTGGTTGGAATGTTTAAATCCTGTTATTTTAAAAGTGAAAACAAATATTTTCTTTTCCAGCCAACTAACTTGAAGCCTAAGCCCAATGTAGCCCTTGGAGGTGATGTGAAACTATCAAAGGCCAGTAAAGATGAACGACGGATGGGGGTAAATAGATATTTTCAAATGTTGCAATTGAAAGAATAGGATGTAAATATTTTTTGTTTTTTTAAAGTTTTTTTTTAAATATTAAAAAGCCCAAAACTTAGTCAAATTAAATTAGGTTATATCAAGTTCTTGCATTATGCCTGAAAAAATAATGTTAATTCCAAATTAATTACACAACAATTATACTGCAAAAATCAGAATATTGAACAGTTTTAAGTTACAGCTATGTTGAAGCCAAAGAATAAAAACAAAATGTACAGTTCCATCAACAAAGCTGACAGCTGCAACACCAATTCAATCTTAAAAGAAATCTAATGAAAGCAAGAGGCCCTTGTATAATTATTCGTAATCCCCAGTTTCCATTGTTCTTCAGTCTAGCATTGATCCAGCCTATATTGCTTAGGCTAAATGGAGAACTGAAAAGTCGGTCTGTGCCTTGTTTACCCTAGATACTTAAAACCAGTGTAGTAGAAGTGAAACAGAGGCCAGCTCTGTTTAATATTTTAGTTTAGAGAGCAGATGGAATTGGGTTAAGTAACCCTAGGAGAGAGCTAACTTCTCTCCTTCCAGCATGCTTTAGTCAATATACAATGCAAGCCATTGATGACGTTAAAAAAATAAATCTGTTAGTATCTAAACAATGATATCTACCAATGATATATCTAATTATAACTCTGTAAATTTGGGGTTTAAGTCAAAAGCATAAAAGTGGTATAACTCATTTTCAAATCAATTTCTGATGGCATGTCATGACTCATTCTGTTTTTCAGCTTGTAAAAAGATGCAAAATATAAATTGTGTAACTGTTATAGGTCCATTAGAACTTATTAAAACAAGGAGTTATGTTCACCTGTTACATAAAATTGATTTTAAAAAAATATTTTTTTGGGGGGTAATTTTACTTAAAAAATAAGAGACAGATAAATATAATCCCACTAATCTATCAGGCCTTTAATGATTTGCTTGGATGCTGCTCCTGACAGAAACAGCTGATATATTAAACAAAATTGGTTGGCATGTCACAATTTATAAATGAGCTATTAAAGTGGTCTGAGAATACAAGGATTTAAAACTGCTACTCAAAGCATTGGGTTCATTTTTTTTTAAAGGCTATAAAAAACAGTTGTCAGCTGGCCTTCATGTGAGATGCATTAAATTCAATGCCTGTTAAGAGGTTCAGCTTAGACTTGCATTATCACAATGCCTTTAGATATTTACTGTTACAATAATATTCAGAGGACAGCAGCTATTTTAATTCTGATCGTATAAGTCACTGAATCAAATGTTTGTTTGGCTTTAGTAGTTAGGCCGCCACATTTACAACAAAAGTCGAGTGTTTGAGCATTTACTAAAAAGAAATCCTTTAATTGTATGTAATTTATTTAGTAAGAAGACAGCAGCATAACATCCACAGTTAAAAGCTTTAATCGACATAATGTATGTCAATAAATCCTGGCAACTCTCTGAAACACTTCTGTAAATCTTTATAATCCACCATAACTCAAATATCAACTTCTGTCATCCCACATGAAATTGTTTAAGTGAAAAGTGAATGTCAGCTTTGTCTTCTCACCTACTGATAGCAGGAAATAGAACAGAGTCACCTGGTTCCATTACATTCATTGTTAATGTTCATTTAAAACAACCAGGCTAGGCTTCTAAGCCATTTCCTTGATAAAAAATTCTATTATTTTAAGAAATTTCATAAAAGTAAAGTTCGTTTGATATTTCATTATAAAAGTTGATGGGCTACATCTAAGTTATAACATAAATCCAAGGATGTATTGATTGAGTTTTTAATAAGTTATATTATAGTTTAATGATAGGCCCTGCATATGTCATCAACCACCACTCGCAAACACACTTTTTCTTCAACTTTCTTTAAATCAATATGAATGTCTCATAAATATTCATATACATTGTTGCTATCAACACATTCAGCATTTTTAGCCCCCCAAATATCTTTGAACCTGTGCGTCATATCATGAGCCTAATATCATTTGGCAGACTGTCTGTGTCCCTCATAACCCCTTCTGCGTTCTTATGAACACTTACTATAAAGAACCATGTCAGTCAGTCAGGCACATACGGTCATGACATGTTCAATCAAACCACCAAGTGGTACCTCATGGCTTAAATCTTTATAAAGCTTGATCAATGGACCATGAAGATATTGGTGAATGCATTACTGCTAAGCCAAAGAAAAACATTCTGAATTCTTTGTTACTTGAACAATGGTCCCTTACAGGAATGCACAATAAATGGTTATTAATCTTGAATAATATTAGGGCCAGGTTTTAAATTTCTTTCAGGCACACACATTCTAAGAAGCCGTAATTAGATGGTGGCATTATGCTTTGAAACTTGAACTAATCTCATTTTATAAAAAAAATATCTCATTATTGTGGGACAGTGGCTACAATTTATATTTTTTAATAATGCTTTTGACATAAAAATCAACAAAATCATGAATTCTTATTAATCAGGAAGACTATTGTGGGTTTTGATTGGCCATGTCAAGTGGTTTTAATTAATGATAAAAGTGGGTCCTATCAGCAAATTTTTAAAAAATAATTCATCAAAATAAAGTCTTTTGGGTTGGCTTGGAGTGAGAATCAAATGTACTTAGTGTCTTAGCTAAAGTCTGTTGGTTTAGCTTAAAGTGGGAATCAAGTGTACTAAGTGTTTTAGCTAAAGTCTGTTGGTTTAGCTTAAAGTGAGAATCAAGTGTACTAAGTGTTTTAGCTAAAGTATGTTGGGTTAGCTTAAAGTGAGAATCAAGTGTACTAAGTGTTTTAGCTAAAGTCTGTTGGGTTAGCTTGGAGTGAGAATCAAAGGTACTAAGTGTTTTAGCTAAAGTCTGTTGGGTTAGCTTGGAGTGAGAATCAACTGTACTAAGTGTTTTAGCTAAAGTCTGTTGGGTTAGCTTGAAGTGAGAATCAAGTGTACTAAGTGTTTTAGCTAAAGTCTGTTGGGTTAGCTTGGATTGAGAATCAAATGTACTAAGTGTTTAGCTAAAGTCTGTTGGGTTAGCTTAAAGTGAGAATCAAGTGTACTAAGTGTTTTAGCTAAAGTCTGTTGGGTTAGCTTAAAGTGAGAATCAAGTGTACTAAGTGTTTTAGCTAAAGTCTGTTGGGTTAGCTTGTAGTGAGAATCAAATGTACTAAGTGTTTTAGCTAAAATCTGTTGGGTTAGCTTGGAGTGAGAATCAGGTGTACTAAGTGTTTTAGCTAGTCTGTTGGGTTAGCTTAAAGTGAGAATCAAATGTACTAAGTGTTTTAGCTAAAGTCTGTTGGGTTAGCTTAAAGTGAGAATCAAGTGTACTAAGTGTTTTAGCTAAAGTCTGTTGGGTTAGCTTGGAGTGGGAATCAAAAAGTGTTTTGGCCAGGCTTTTTTCAGAAAAATAATATAGTTTAAAAAAATATGAAAAAATCTTTAATCCCTTTCCGCTTCTGTCTGCTTCAATGGCAAAGTGTTTTGGGGACAGTTTAAAGCAGAATTACTTCATCAGGTGTGCCCACAACGCATTGGGGTGCAGAGGCAGTTTCAGTGGGTGCAGGAAGACCCAGAAAATTAGGTTTATTAGCATTTTTGATGGTATGGGAAATGTGCTTGAAATCGAGATGGGCATGTGGGAAAAGTTTTAAAAGGAAGACGGGGTGAGATTAATCTAGATTAATGATTAGAGCTACACTTTCAGGTAGTGTGGTAGACTCTACCATCCTAAGAGCACATTCGAGGTACTAATAAGTGAATTTTTAAAGAAAAATTGGTATTAGATATTAGATAACATGTGGAAAAGTAATCTACAATTTGAATTGGGGGGGGGGGTTGTGATTGAATCTCAAAATTATTAATCTAGGGCTTCTGGTTAGCTAAATCTGGCCCCGACTGGTAGGCACATGTATCACTGAAATGTTTTCTTTTTCAGATGGATACTCGTCACGAGTATCTGATGGACCAACTGGCCAGTGCACTTAATCTGGATAAAATTCAAATTTTAGATTACTTTTCCACATGTTATCTAATATTTAATAAGTTAATTTTTAAAGAAAAATTGGTATTAGATATTAGATAACATGTGGAAAAGTAATCTACAATTTGAATTGGGGGGGGGGGGTTGTGATTGAATCTCAAAATTATTAATCTAGGGCTTCTGGTTAGCTAAATCTGGCCCCGACTGGTAGGCACATGTATCACTGAAATGTTTTCTTTTTCAGATGGATACTCGTCACAAGTATCTGATGGACCAACTGGCCAGTGCACTTAATCTGGATATAGGAGTGGTGGAAGAGTTTTTAGTATCTGATGATAGGGTAAGCTCCACATTCGCACTGTAAGTATGATACTTTTCTTATTTGTTAAAAAATACATTTTTAGTGCTGAGCTTGGTGACCTGGATGCTTGGAAATACAAAGTATTACCACACCTGGCACATACCCAGACTCTGTAAAACAACTTTTCCGGGTGTGGGTGTCTTCTCATTTGGTTTATGTCTCACTCAGTGTGGAGAAATGAAAAGTGCATGCACAGAATCAGAACATCTTTTTAAAATAAGTTTTTGACATTTTACCTGCATTAAATAATTAATAATAATAGTCTACCCATGTAATTTTCTATTCTCCTTATTGGGTGGAACATCCAGAAAATGAGAAGATAACTCTTTTTTTCTTTTGCAACGCTAGACTCAGACCTGCCCCGGGTTTAGACTCAAAATACCTGGACCGGGATGTAAAAAAAAAGCTGTATCCGGCTCAGCCCTATTAAAATTTCAATCTTAAAAAATGGATGCATATTTTTAGCTGCTGTATTTACATGAGAAAATAATGTTCAAGCAGAATTTTTTTTCCTTTTTCTTAGTTTGAGTTGATGGATGATTTCTTCAAAGCTGATGGCTCCCGAAAAATAATGTTCTTCTATCAGGATGTGTCTGTAAGCACAGCTTTATTAATAACATCATAATGAAAGACTTCTGAATAAATTTCCCTTTGTGTCTCCACATTAGAAGAGAAAAATGTTTCAGGAAAAACACCAGATCATTTATGTCTAATTTTATAACTACAAAGTAAAAAAAGCACGCTATCACAAAAGACTTTAAAATCCTTTTCACACTTTGAAAGTCTGTTTTACAAATTCTTAAATTTAAAAGTCATGAATAAAATATAGTTCACCAATTTTATATTCCTAGATAGCAGATCAAAAAAATGGTACATTTGGTAATGTTCCACACTGTACATGATTATTATAAATACCTTGTTTTTTTATAGTACTGCTCATGTTAAAAGTGTTTTTATTTTATTTACATTATAAATTTTAAAATTCGTTCATCAGAAAGGAGAGAAAAAGAAGCTATTTATCACAACAGGTGACTCAGAGGTAGGTTTTCTGTAGAATGTATTTGTTTTATTATGTTTTTGTACACTGCACAATTTTTTTTGAAAAAGGGTACAGTGATTATAGCAGAGTTTGATTTCTCTTTGAAAATGCATAAGTTTGATGTCTCTAACGAAATGTTAGCTATCAATTTTATGTTTGATGAGTCAAAATTTGCTCTCCATTTAATTATGTAAATGTTTAGTGTTCATTTATATAAGATTATGATGTAACTATCTAGCTTTGGTGAGTTTAAATTTTTTTACTGATACAGGATTTATTACAAAAACATTTTATTGAAGTTTAAATCAAATTTTTAAAAATAAATCAATGGCGGATTATTTTTTTTTTCCTCTATCCTCTACCAGGGTCTTAACGGAATTTGCTTGTTTTTCTTGAGAACAACATCCAAGGCTATTACAACTGCCAACATTGCTCAAGAAGTCAACTTTGGCACTATGGACTGCACTGGTGGAAAAATCTTGTCTGGATTTGAAAAGCATTTATCAAAAATCATTTTGCCTTCACTCAAATCCTTAGAGGTTGGTTATTATTTTAATTTTATTTTTTAGGGGAAAAAAAGTTAATCACCTATCATAATTTTGTTTTCCTTTAATAAATTAATTATTATAATTTAAACATTTCCTACATAGTGACATCTGAAATAAACATTGAACCAGAATCAGGAGTAAACAAATATTTTCCAACCTTATTTTTGTTATTTTCCTTCTTTTTTTTTTCCGGGTTAAATCTACTCAATCAGTTATAAGCCTTATTAAAATATATTTGCATCATTTGTTTGGTTTAAGTGCTCACATTGCTTAAAACAATTTTTAACTATGTTATGGTGAATTCTGATGTTAGACAGAACAAACTCATGAGCGTTTCAGGAGAAAGGATTTAATCTGCACGCAGTCTCCCATGGAATAGAAGCAGAAAATAATTTTAACAATTTTAAAATATATTACTTCTGATATACATCTGTCTATTACTGAAGATATTTTGGAAAGGTTTGATAGGGATCTATTAAATCTGGATCACCTGAAATTAATTTCACATTCTACAATTTAGGCATGGGGGACTCTCTCTAAAGAAAATGGCACGATTGCACAAGTGGATGAGTTTCTGGAAAACATGGAGAAGTTTATAAGCAGCCTCATGTCTGCTCTCAAGAACATGGAAGGGCAAGTTACTCTCAAGGAAAATGGGCACAGTACCATTATTGACCACATCAAAACACCTGCTGACTATCAGGACACAGGTCAGTATTTCATTTCACATATTTCCACGAATGGGTCTACTAAAATATCAGTTGCTAAAATTAATGCAAAATAAAATATTTTAGTAATAAACTAACAGAAATTTATTTGGCATACCTTGAATTACACTTATTTTATCCTAATAAAGCCATAGTATCTTCATCAAATTACACATTGCTAATTTGTATACATTAGTTTAAAATATGTCTTACTTGAAAATGGGAAATATGATTTATTAGTAATACACTGGACCCTTGATAAAGCGCAGAAATGGTTATAATGCAGGATAAATAATGACTTCCCCCAAAAAAATTTTGCTTTCTAAAATATGCAGATTAGGAAGACCTGAGAAATCATTTAATATCAAAGGTCTGGTGTCATTTTAGTTTAATCAAAGGATAGCAATAAATGTTAAATAAGTATCATCCAAATGGCAAGAATTTACTCATTTATAACTATTTTTTAGACTATCATTGAAAGGGAAGCATATTATTAAACTAAATTATGACACAACAATTTTTAAAAGGAAATTAAATAATTGTAAAATGACATGCATCAACAAATCACAAAAGTCACTTAATGATTATATTTCAGCCAGCAACACTGAACACTTAGAAAAACTTGAAGAACTTCTGACATTGTGGTTAAAGCAAATTGAGCAAGTTCTAGCTGAGAGTGAGCAGATGAGGAGGGAGGCAGATGACATCGGACCAACCGCAGAGCTAGCATACTGGAAAACTAGAATGGCAAAGTTTAACAAGTGAGAGAATGTGTGGTCATCAAATTGATCAACTTACATATTGTACTGCTCCTTTGGAAATCACTGATGAGCTAGACCAGTGGTTGGCAAATAGCGGCTTGTGAGCCACATGCGGCTCTTTAGCGCCCTGAGTGCGGCTCGCCAGTTGGCCAAAAATGGGTTTTGACTCCAAAAAACATGGTTCTTGACAGGTTCTTGAAAAGAAATTTGGCTCTCAAACATTTTTAATCGTCCTGCTTCTGATTTTTGGCTCTTTTGACCAATGAGTCTGCTAACCACTGAACTAGACCATTTTATAAAGGCACATATAAGTAATAATTACAATGCAGTCTTACGCTGGTTATCTGGATAGAGAAAAAAATATTGTTGGTCAGGCTTTCTTTAAATAAATGGTATTAATACTTATCATTTTCTGCTCCATATGAAGTCTTCTAGAACAAATGAAAAGTCCAAGAGTTAAAGCAGTGGTTGGTGTGCTTCAAGTTTCAAAGTCAAAGACTCTCAAGAAGTGGAAAGACTTGGTGAGTACCAGGCCATGATTATAAAGTAGTCAGACTGATTTTATATTATTTAAAGACAATGTTTATAAAATTCTGAATGTGTTAAATTAACTCAGGGAGTCAAGAAATTAAAACAGAACATATTCATAATTTTAAACATTTTATAATGAATTTTTTTTTGGCTTGGAGGCATTGGATAGAAAAACTTGACAGAGGGAAACCTTCACTTGGTTTAAAATACCTAATAAAATGCCAGCTCATATTTATTTATTCTTTACTGTGACAATAGTATTGACAAGCAATTAGGCTATTAATTATTTAGTTTTTCAGCAAAGTAACGATATAATTCCAGTGAATTCCATACAAACATCTGCTGAAATGTAGCACATGATTATTACACTGAGGAAAGCATGTTAGGTCTGCCATCAGGAGCCATGGAGTAAATTTGTTGCTTTGAAAGGAACAAACTAGTCCAACTGCTCAAATAGATGGGGAGGGAATAACTTGTTTATACCTTTTTCTCAATTACTAGTAGGCCTACAAATATAGAAATTGGACCCATAAAGTTTATACTTTAATGTATGTATTAATTTCGTTTTCTCCCAAAGGATGGTCGCATAACAGATGCAGCCAATGAAGCCAAAGATAATGTCAAGTACCTGTACACCTTGGAGAAATTCTTTGGGCCACTTGTTAAATGTACACCGGTAAGTTAAACTTGTATACAATTGAATAATTGGAATTTAAGCTTACCCCAGGCTTCTTCTTGGCTTGTTGCTGTTTTCACTCTCAAAATATTCGTTAAAATCCCTTGTAATTTACCACTCCATCTGTCCCCAGGCAACTATGGTGGAACACATTCCTAGTCTGATGAATGCCATCAGAATGATCTACAGCATCTCACAGTATTACAACACCTCAGAGAGGATGACCTCACTCTTTGTTAAAGTTACCAATCAGATGATAACCACCTGCAAGGCTTACATTATTCAAGGGGTCACCAAGGTCTGGGAGCATCCAAAGTAAGTCTTTCTCATCAGTGAAATTCATTATGCATAACATTCAAGTTCATAATATTCTAAATTTAACTGTATTCAGCATTAATTAATTGATAAAATGAACAGTAAAGGTCGTAGGTTATTTTTGTAATGATTCATGTCTTTGACTCGATAATCATGATTCTTACAACTCTTTCTTATTCCCCCTAACTTTTTGTAACTACTCATCCTTATAATGTAGGACAGGTGATATTTCTTATCACTCTAGATATTTTATTTCTCATTGCTCTATGGCTAATTATCTTCAGTGTATTTGTCTGGGTAAATAATAGAACTTAGATTCCTTATAGATATATTTAGTACCCATGACATGTTTGATGCAAATGGACCAATAACTGTTATTCTGATATTGAAATATTAGTTAATAAGAATAGCAACTTTATTTGCTGAAATGATTTCAAAATGTTATTGTGGACAGGGAGGAGCTCCTGAAGAGACTGGATGAGTGCATCCACCTTAACCATGAACACCAGAGACACTTCCAGAAAACTAAGGAGAAACTCAAAGAGACACCCAGTGAGAGGCAGTTTGAGTTCAGGTATAATGAGAAGGATTTAGATCACTGTCACATCTCTTTGTTTTAAAATGTTTGAAGGATATTTCTAGAATATGACCAGAAAATTAGATTCAATACAGAAAATTAGATTCAATACAAAAAAATCAGATTCCTTTATAAAAATTTAATTGGGCTACAGCTATGCTGTAACATTTACAACATTTACACATGTTTTATAAGTTTGACATGATGCCCTAAGAATTTAAACTTGATCCTTATAATCTTCAGTGAGAACTACATCTTTGGAAAGTTTGACACTTTTTGCAAGCGCCTTGAGAAGATCAAAGATATGGTCAACACGATGGAGCAGTTCTCTGGCTTACCCAATATCAAGATTGAAGGCATTGATACCATTGTGGTCAGATATAAAACTATTGTGGAAACCACCAAGAAAAAGAGCTATGACATTCTTGACCACAGGAAAGGAGATGTAATATATTATTTAAATCAATTTTTGTAAACACAACTTAATCAGATTTATATACCTAAAAAAAAGAATGTTAATAATTTGTTTAAAAACTTTAAAAAAAAAAAAAAATGCCCTTTAAACACCATAAATTAAATTTAATGTGACCTTACATCTCTCTCCACTAATTTCTGGTCGCCTCTCCAAATGATTTTAAAAATATTGGAATAAGGGATCCATTTGCTTCAATGTAACTATGGTCACCTTATTCAACCAAATGTACCCACATTTAAATATTTAAAAAAAATTTGAACACAAGGTACAACTTTAGTATATTTCAGGCATTAATATGAATGGACATTATATTATGTCTTTAAAAAATGTATCTTTATGATAATATTTTACATTTTAACTCACTTATCAGTTTGACAATGACTATGTGGAGTTCAAGACACAGATAGAGAATTTACGCAGTTCCATACAGGCCTTTATGGACTCTTGGTTTGCTCGATCACTCAGTGTATGTAAACATCTATCATTGTTGTTTGCCCTACTTCTGGTGAATTATATATCTATTTATTTTCCTTTTCTTACCCAAGGATTATAGCCCTTTGCACACATCATTACTTATGATTCATCAACTTTGGTCATGTTCATTTTTCAACCTTACTCTTTGTTAATGCTACTAATCAGATGCTGATCTGCATTACATCATTGTTTATTTATATAGAAAGGAAGAGATTATAAATATATTTTAAATTATAATTCTCATAAAAATTAGCATTTTCTTTTCTTCATAGACTGAGAAGGCATTGGAGTTGTTGGATAAATTTGAAGCTATAAATGCTGCACAATTAGATCTGACAGAAAAGTACATGCGGGTGATGACAGTCTACGGACGTGACCTTGAATCCATTCGTAAAGTGTATCAGAAGCACAAGAGTGATCCACAAATTCCAAGAAACCTTCCATCCATTGCAGGAAAGATTGCTTGGGCTCGACAGCTCTACAGGAAGATAGAGGCACCCATGAAGATCTTCAAAAACAAACCTGAGATTTTAAAGGTAGCTCAGAAATTTATGGATATTTAGTAAAAAAGTTTTTTACTGCGGTTCTTAATTTTCGCATTGATAATTAATGAGATTGTAAAGCTTTAACTATCATGATTGCAGGGTTTCTTAATGAGAACAATGCCTCCACTTTGTAGATGAATAAAACTATCAAAAGGCGTGAAAATAAAAAAATTAAAAAACCCTTATAATTTCCTTACCAGAGAATTCCCTGCTCTAATAAAACTTTAGTATGGGAAATGCAAAATGAATGGAAAGAGCCAAGAAACCATTGAAGTCTTTTATTGAAAAAGATTGAGAAATGTGTTACTCTTTTAAGTTTTGAGCTTAAATCTTAAAACAGGGAAAGCCTAAAAACAAAATCCATTTTGAACTTAACCGAATTATCAGTAGTCAAGTCCTATGAATTATGTGTTTGTTGACCATACATGTAAACTATTGATACCAAAAAACCATACACAAAACACATCAAATATCAATGTTTTATCTAGCTATTCAATAAGGAAATGGACTTTCTTAAGTCGAGTTGTTCTTCTTTTCTCCATCAGCATCCAGAGTCAAAGAAAATTATCAGAAACTTTAACAAGATGGCAGGTGTACTTATGGAATATGAGGTACCGGTAACATAATGCATTATAAGTTTTGTGGATTAACTTTAAGAAAGAGGAATGGAAGTACTGTTGTTTTTGTTCATTATTTCACACATACTACTTTATTACTATTATTATTATTTGTCCTTTGCACGTGGAGATGACAAAGGCAATTATTTTTATTGCGTAGTTGCCTTGACTTGAGCTGTATCTTGTTTTTGAAGTGAGGGAGAGTTGGTCCATTGGGCAGCCTCACCCTCTCGTCCTTGCCTATTTGATCCAATGGAAAGACGATGTCCGGCTTGGTTCATGTGTGTTTCGCTGTGCTCTTTGTGCGTTCCACATCGCAGGAATTTTCAGAATTCTCACTTTGTCAATATCATTCAGCCTGTGGGTTTGATTTCAAAATCTGTCTTCTCTCCTTCTCTTAGAGGTGTCACAAACCAGGGTTATCAAGCTCCATCCAACGAGATGGGGCTCTGAGTTATTTTTTGCTTGTCTAGACTTTTGCTGGGGATTGAACTCCAGTCCACAAGCTTGAAATTGACCCAGTACCCTTAATTACTAATATAATTATTATTAATGTTTCCTTAATGTTTGCACTTGTTCTTGTGATGCGAAAAAGTGAGCTTCCACACTTGGGCTTTTTTTGGTTAGAGGAGCATGTCCTAAGTTTTTGCATTTTTTATGGAAAAAAATGGGTTTCCTTGATGCCTGGGCTTTTCTTATGTAATATTAATAAAATATACTATTAAAAGCAGAATACTTTTCACGGGAAAGTTTAAATAATGTGATGCAAAAGATGCTATCACATGACTAGCAGTACTGAAATCTAATGAATCTATTATCTTCTGAGAGAAGGTAAATCAATACACTCATATTATTTATGATTACAGATGCTGTACCACAGAGGGTGGTATAGAGCAGTGGAAGCTGCCAAATCTGGATTGCATGCCTCACTTCTGGTCAAACACCCAGAAACTGGAGAACTCTTTGTCAACTTTGACATTCAGATAATGGAACTGATCCAAGAGGCTAAGTGGCTCCAGGTAGACCTTAAGTTAATTTGGTTGGATATCATATCTTGTTAAACACAATAACTTATTGCAGCTTCTTATTGATTCTCAAGAAATTCTTTTACATTAAAGGCCATCCATGTATGAAGTCACCCAATTTTGTCTAATTTTGGACCCCCTACTCCCCTCACTGCCGCGTTAGTCTCAAAATTTAGACACCCTCAACTTGTCACACATTTGCAATATCCCCCCCCCCACCCCTCGATGCATGAGGTCACTTAAGATGACACCTTAAAAACCAATAAAGATTTTATTTATGAGTCTTAAAAAAATTAATTTTGATTGGTTAAAATAAAAAATTTTAAATATCAATTTTGTATAATAACTTCTCGGCACCAACAAATGTAAAGTTCAGCTAGTGTGTGATGTATTTTGTGTCATTGAAAGTTATTTATTAACGATATCTTTAAAGGGATTCTTGTATAGAATTTGTGGTTTTATTTATCTAGATCATGAACCTAGATGTTCCTGATGCTGCTAAAGAGCTGATTGTCAAAGAAGAGAGCATGAAACAAAACCATGTTGCGTAAGTTTTCTATTGATGCTATTTTACTTACCAGTAGATTTGATAATTAATAGCAAAATCTACTATTTCACAACTATTTTAGAGAGAGATAAATAGCAGGGATGCAGTTAAGGAATAATCACAAAAGAAAGACTAGAGTTGTAAAAAAAAATTATTAATAAACTATTAGAACCATTGTCATTGTAGACATTTGAAATTTCCCAATGTTCTGCCGGCTCATTTTTTCTCAGCCATGTTGTCAATGTGACATTTTTATCGCAGCTTAACAGAGATGTTAGTAGAGTACCACCGCATATTACAGGCCATTCCGACAGTGTTACTACCTTTGATGAAACCCTTTAAGAAACGAGTTGAAGAAACTCTTAACCCAGGCATCAGCTCCCTGACATGGACATCCCTAAATGTGGACACTTGTAAGCTAATAAAATTCTATTTAAATAAATACATGATTTGTTTGCTGGGTTACCTGAAGGCTGTATTTGTTTTACTTCTTTATTACAGCATTTATGCGTTGTTCCATGTTTTCAATACAATGGCAACTTGACCAAGTTATTTTTTACTTTGCTTTAGAGGCTTGTCTGAAGAAGTGGTTTGAACCCACCCCAGACAGTGAACATACATATATGTATGTGTAATCCAGTCACCCAATAAATTAAAATCACAATTTTTATAGTTTAGTAGGGGGGTTTCCTATAGCATTTTTCATATGAATTTATGTAAAAAATTTCTAACATCTAATCTGACTTCACTGTGCTTTTAACTTCACCAAGCTGTTTTCTTTTAGTTAGCATTCAAAGCAAACACAAATGATGTATTATCTCACTACAGACATAAATGGCATCTATGCTTCAATGAAAGAGCTGGACAAATTATCAAAGACACTACAAGACATCCTTGACTGCAGAATTGAGGCTGTGCTAGATGATATGTCGGTGACAGCACTCTGTGATCTTCCTGAAGATGAACCAGTCACTGCTGACAAGTTCCTGCAACTGACCACTGACATTGTGGCTTCTGCTTCAGAGTCTTTAGCTACGTAAGTCTGCAATTTATTTAGTCTACCAATAGATAAATTAATATTCTACAAAACATGTAGATGTACTGAACAGTTGGTTAAGATTTTATATTTATAATCAAATCTATAAATAGTACAATCCTGGTCAACAAAGCAAGATAAAAATTTATTAAGTTGTAGGAGAGTTTTTTTATATTTAGGACTTTAACTTTTATTCATTTATGTACACTTTATTTTAATACTAAGTTATATTAATATGAATTTTAACTCTTTTCTTTCAAAACTATACATTTTGAAAATTTATTATGATGCAATGTCTCTTTTTTTTTTTACAGTCAAAGCCAGCTGGCAGAGAAGGCAGTCAATGAGCTCGTGGACACTCTGCGGTCGAGGCTAACCCCTGAAGAGCGTGTTGGGATTTCTGCTGAAGAAGGTTATGCCTGTGCGCACCCAGACACAAAAAACAAGAAGACTAGATGCCAAGAATGCCAGCCTTGCTGTTACTACAGTCTGCTAAACTACTTCACTCAAAGAAACACAGAGGCTTTGGTCAAATGTGAGTGTAGAATATTTTATCAATACCGAAGACTTAATTTAACCATTTGTTCCACATCATTAATTTTGTTTAGAGATCACAATTTTATCTTTGAGAATTGATGGGAAATGAAAAACATATGATTTCTAATTGGATCATTGTGAGTCCACATTTTGATTAGTTTTGAGTGTGAGGGAGGGAATCATATCTTCAAGGCATAAATAGGTCTAGATATAGCAGAGATTTCCAAGTAAGTTTCTAAACCTGATACATATCCCACATAACTCTTAACCAGGTTAATCACAAGATAACAATTATTACAGGTTTTTAAAAAAAAGGCAATTTTCTTCTGTTTACTAAACCTGATACATATCCCACATAACTCTTAACCAGGTTAATCACAAGATAACAATTATTACAGGTTTTTAAAAAAAAAGGCAATTTTCTTCTGTTTACTTATCACTTAATTCTTTTTAGCAATAATCTGCGTGTGATATTATGCTGTTGTTATGAACAAAGCTGCTTTAAGCGTAATAAAAAAAAATAGAAATTCTACATTTTTTTAAAAATAATATGAATTTATTTTTTTTGTTTCAATCTTAAATATTTCAAAAGAAAACACTTAAAAATTATACATGTCTATAATCATCAGGCACTCGGCTGACATTAGATGCCATCAAACGCCGCCTGCAGTCTAACCGCTACATCATTGGGGATGAGTACAGAGAAGAGCTCAAGCCACCATTGTTTAAGGTGGATGTTGTTTTGGAGATTCCAAATGTGATGATAAGACCAAATCTGGATGATCTACAGCATGCACTCTCCAAAGGTGTTCAAATCATACTTAAGGCTTCAGAGACGATGAATATTTGGGAACATCAGATTCTTCATCAGAGACAGCTACAGAAGGTAATGATTTTGGTTATTTAACTATTTAAATCTGTTTAAAAATTGTTTAAAGTAAATTCTTATGAAGATATTTTTTATCTTGTAGTTAACCCCATTTTTATTAGTCTTTAACCTTTCACCATGTCCAGCTAAAATCCAATACATAACATAGGCAGGTAAGCCTTAATTCTTTTTTAATACTTGACTTCTATTTACATTAGGAGTTGGAGCTTCTTGCTCAAGAGGAGAAAGATGAAGGTGCTAAAATCATGCCAGCTTCCACCCAGGCTAAACCACTCCATAAGGTATATTGACTTGGTTTTTATTACAATTTTGGTCTAAAAAATTTATTGACTTATGCTATTTGGGGGTGTTAAACAATTCACCTACTCAAATGCCAGGTACCGTGTTCTTATTTTATATCTAAGGCTAAATCATTGTTGTCATAAAGTTATAACTGTTATCCTTTTAAGTTGAAACTTGTTTAAAATGAAAACTTGGTAACATTATTTTTTGTCATTTAGGAACTTTGATTGTATTTGAGAAAAGCTGATTGGATAAGGGATTACTTAGTCATGAATGAATCCATCCACCCATTGACTAAACTCTCATTTTATTTCTACATCAGGTCATAAGTGAGCACAAAGATATTGTGAAAATTGTCATACAGCTCAACTCTATTATAAGTACCTTCAAGGGAGATGTACAAGAATCATTGGAAAACTTTACTGGATACTCAGAGTTGTGGATACAGGTGACATTATCCTTTCATTGGAGCATTTATTAACATTTCTATGTTCCCCCTTTGATTGCAATTTTTAGTACAGGTTACAGTAATCATAGGTTTCTTCTCAACACTCATCAAATTTTAGGATTTTAAATATAAAATGTCATTCCCATTGATTTCTCAAATTAATAACTAAATGCAATTTATAATTGTTCCTTTCAGGAGGTAGAAGTTAAAGTGAAGCAGTTTATGAGCAATAATCCAATTATGTCAGAGATAGAGGCTCAAATTCGATACTATCAGGTTTGTGCTAACATTTAGAATTATAATGAGTAATTTTCAATTAAGCTTTGATTGATATTGACATGGTTCCAAAATAAATAAATAAACTTAAAAAAAAAACATGTTTTAGTCTGATTTTTATAATTCAAGTTTCACAAAAGACAAATAAATTAAGCCCAGTTTTTTAAAATATTAAAAAAAAAACAAAACAAAAACTTAGTATTTAATTTTGAAAAAAAATTTCAAATTTTTTTGTCAATTAGAATTTGGAGATGAGCATTGAAGAAATAGTTCCTTCCTTCAGAGTGGGTTCAGTTATATTTATCACAGAACAGCTGAAAATGGCATTAATTACTGAGACCAGAAACTGGAAAATGTCATATGCCAAGGCCCTAAATGAAAAGTGTGGCAGAGAGATGGACTCAATGACTGAATTTATTGACAGTCTGATGAAACGCTTATCTCGGCCAATCAAAGATCTGGATGATGTACGTGCTGCCATGGCAGGGCTGAATGAGATAAGAGAAAATGAAATACGTATTGATATGACAATCACTCCAATAGAGGAGACGTATGCATTACTACACAAATACAACATATCTTTTAATGATGGCAATGCCGAGAGGGTGGATACACTGTCATATGGATGGAAAAAACTCACCACACAGGTAAGAGGAAATATTGTGTTTTTATTTATTTATTAAATAAATCTCAAATAAAATAAATAACTGTTGTCAATGACTAAAAAAATATATATTCATCTCATTATATAAAGTTTTAAATTATTGGTGATTAAATTTCTGAATATTTGTTTGAGACAGTTTTGATATAAAATGGGGAAGGTTCCAGGATAGTAGGGCATAATAATAGTTTTTGTATTGATGTTTGCTAAAAGTGCATCTTGTAAAATAAAGAAATTTGAAAAGAAACGCTAAGAAATTACAGTTTAATAATGTAAAACATTTACTATACAAAGCAAATTGGCTAATAATTATTTGTTATAAAACTTCTGCATGGAATTTGTAACCCAGTCTCCTTGTGGTGATTCTAAATCATAACTGTGTGCCGTGACTATTAACATTTCTGATGAAGATCAACTTTAGATGTTCCATGCTTTTATCTCATCCACTGAATGTTCAAAGCTTGGTTATTCTATGACATTACTTTGAAACCAAGGGTAATGCTGATGATCAGTTGGCATAGAATCAGTTGATTAGTGTTTTAGTTTGTTTGAAATGTGACTTTTATAGTATAGCTTCACTTACCCTCAGCTGCTTTACATTGCAATTAATGTTATAGAGGATTCATGTAATTCCTTAACTTTTTAGCAAAAATTGAGAAAATTTAGCATAAAGAGAATCTGAAAAAGAGGAATTTAAAAAAAAAGAATTCAATATATTTGAATATTTATAAAAATCATTTGAACGCACTCAATTTTCAAATATTCAGTATAGTTTTTAACATATTAAATGTAAAGTCAAATTTAGCATTGCCCTTGAAAATATCACAATATTTCACTAGGTGATATTTGACTTGGATCATGAATTAAGGTAACTTTACCCAAATGGGTAATTTCAGCTTCATGTTTATTTAAATATTTTATTGATCATTATTATGTTTTATATTTTTAGGAATAAGTCAGCTAGTAGCCTTTGTAGAGGGGCATTAGAAAGCTTTAGATTTTAATCTTTTTTTTTTTTTTTTTTTTTTTTTTTTTTTTTTTTTTTTTTTTTTTTTTTTTTTTTTTTTTTTAATTTTTTTTTTTTTATTTTTTTTTTTTTTTTTTTTTTTTTTTTTTTTTTTTTTTTTTTTTTTTTTTTTTTTTTTGTTGTTGCTTTGAGTAAAAGATTTATTTGCTAAATATTCAGCACACAGTTTAATAAACATGAAATCTTCCAAATGAGATATACAGCTTGCCAATAAAAAACAACAAAAAAACAAATAACTTTCCAACAGATAGGATAAAAATATCCAGCTCTAAATAACATTACTGACTATAATTTATGGATTATTTTGCTATGTGTTACAAATAAAAACATTTAAAAAAAAAAAAAGTTTAGAGCATCTAAAAAGCATATTTATCTGCAGGTGGGCCAAACAAGAAGATAACCTAAAAAAGGTTGAATCAAAGTTTCCAAAAATTAAATATTGTTATTTTGAAGAAAAAAAATTTGAACCTCCCTTATATAATAAATAAACATTTGTTTTCAGACATACTCTGATAATTTTTTCTGTGCCTACAATACTGCTTTACAAATCTGAAATTCTATGTTTATAAATAACTACATTTAATTGTATCTTTTCAGGGAAGTAATATAAAATCTACTTCTTCATTTTAAATAATTTCCTTACATTAATATAAAATCTACTTCTTCATTTTAAATAATTTCCTTACATTAAGGTCTACACCTATTAACAAAACTTGAGTTACTAAAACTCTCATAGTCACCCATTTAAAAAAGCACACTTTCCTTTTAATGCATATATTTTTTAAACTTTAAAATAACAGACATAAGAATTTATAAAATTATTGAAGAAATGACTTTTATGAAGGGCCCTTTTGCTTTTTTAAAAAAATCTGCTGTGATTTGTTCAAGTTCTTTATAAAATTGTCAGCTGTGATTTCATGTTCTTGCTTATTATTCAAAAATTAGATGACATTATGTAGTCATTATTTCAATATAAGAATTGAAAAAATATATTTATGAAATGGTTAAAATATACTTAAGAAAAATTTTGTCTTGCATCATGCAGCAATCATAAAATACTATTTTTTAAAATTATCAGTTTTATTTCCTTACACATTTTTTATGTATTGCTAACACAAAGAATTGCTTGAATTAATTTTTGAAATGCACTGAAATGCTTTTCTACTTCTTCTTCAATTTAATGCAACAATTCATTCCTTATTTTTAAAAATCAAAAAAACTAATTTAATTTATAATTTAACAGGAAAATCGTATTTACTGAACTCAAATGTTAAAAACATTTCATTAAAGTTCATGTGGTATTGTGTGATTTACAGATTGACTATGTTTTATAAATAACAATATTTACATATTATTATTGTCTCAGCTTATAAAATGTATACAATGAATTAAGCATTTATTTTTATTATAAATCCAGTTTGTTCTCAACATTATTAATAGTTTCATGATCTTCCGTGAAAAATAGTTTTACATTTTTATAAAAATAATTGTTTCAGGCCACCACAATGCAAGAACATCTTCTTCAGATTCAGCCAACTTTCAAGGCTGATCTGCTGGCAGGAGTTGAGCAGTTTGTTCAGGCCAACAATGAGTTTGCAGCTTCTTATGACACTTCGTAAGTTGATGAATTATTGTTTTGTTATTGATTTAAACAAGACCATGCAGGATCATGAACTAGATATTTTGTATGTCATTTCTTGGATTGCAAATAGATTTGTGGGTTTTTTATTTTGCACTGCAATTAATTTTTTTTTTCAAATAATGAATATATATACATATTTTGTATGTGGGAGTCAGTTTAGAAAAATGAAAATAACTGTATTTATTGGCGTATAAAACGCACTTTTTCTCCCTGAAATTATGGGGCAAATGATGTGTGAGTGTTATACGCCGATCAATGTTCCCTCTAGGGTTTGTTGGTTCGTGTGCAAAATCTTACAGTTGTGTGCAAAGTTTTACAGCTTCAATTTTTTTGTGCGCAAAATTTCACTGCCCATTCACTTGCATGGAAATTTGCTGCGCGGTACTCAAAACTGCTGCGCAGAGTCTGTGAGATAGCTGCGCGGCGGCGCAGCTTAAAAGGAACATTGACACCGATATAATGTTAAGTTTTTTTTTCCTGAAATTTCCCTCTTAAAATGAGGTGCTTGTTATATGCCGGTGCGTGTTATACGCCGATAAAAACAGTAGTTACTTAAATAAGGTCTGAATTTTTCTATCTTAAATAAAAGTCTCATTATTGCTGTCCTAAAAGTCTGATAGCCGTTGAATATAGACCCTTTAACAATAGCTGTTGAATATAGACCCTTTAACAATAGCTGTTGAATATAGACCCTTTAACAATAGCTGTTGAATATAGACCCTTTAACAATAGCTGTTGAATATAGACCCTTTAACAATAGCCATTGAATATAGACCATTTAACAATAGCTGTTGAATATAGACCCTTTAACAATAGCTGTTGAATATAGACCCTTTAACAATAGCTGTTGAATATAGACCCTTTAACAATAGCTGTTGAATATAGACATTTAAACAGAAATCACATTAAACCAAAAACCATATCAATGTATTCATGTCATGTATTTAATCTTTCAGTGGGCCAATGGTAGATGGCATTCCCCCAAGAGAGGCATCAGATAGACTCACCATCTATCAGGCCAAGTTTGATGAGCTTTGGCGTAAGTACACAACATATTCTGGGGGTGAGGAGCTGTTTGGCCTTCCAGTCACAGACTATCCTGACCTGATGCGTATTAAGAAAGAGCTGAACTTGCTCCAGAAACTCTACCAACTTTACAATGCTGTGCTAGAGAATGTCAATGGCTATTATGACATCCCATGGTCTGATATCAATATTGAAAAGATCAACTCTGAGCTGCTGGATTTTCAGAACAGGTAACAGAAATCATTTTATTATTTCTTGATTTACGTTGTGCTCTAGTACCAGCTGAGCAAGAAACTATCAAACAATACTGCATTTTACAAGATTTCATAATGACATTATTGTCTCTTAATGTTTCAGTAAAATGATATTCAAATACTTTGTGCAAGAAAGTGGAAGTAATCATAATTGAAAAATGTTTTGATATTACTTAGAGTTGTGATGACCACTCAAGCTTAAAGTTCTATATATCGAAGAAAAATTTTGTTTTTGATTTGCAATTTTTAGTTTCTTATTTGGTAATTATCCATTAAATTCTTGATGATCATTTTCTAGCTCAAATAACTAAACAAATTTAAAATGAGAAATTAAACACTAGTTCATTTGACAAATTTCTTATCAGGCATGGTCATTTGAAAGTTTATTTTATTTTGATTTTGAAAGGTGCCGCAAGCTTCCCAAAGCTCTGAAAGAATGGCAGGCATATGAAGATCTTCGTAAAACAATTGATGACTTTAATGAGACATGCCCTCTGTTAGAAATGATGTCCAATAAGGCAATGCAACAGCGGCATTGGGAGAGAATAGCTCAGATCACCGGCCATTCATTTGATGTGGAGTCTGAGAGCTTCCTGCTCCGAAATCTGATGGAAGCTCCGCTTCTGAAATACAAAGAGGATATTGAGGTAAATATGAGATCCTTTATTTCTGCATAATGTTTCTCTAACATATTTGCATTTAGCATCTTTGTATTAAAAGACCTAATAATTTTTAATAAATTTTCTTACATTGTAATTATCAGATTATAAATAGTACCATTTTCAGGAGAGGAAAAACAAACTTTTTAGTTAATAAATAAATAAATTTTGTGTGTCCATTTTGCATCTATGGCTTTCTTGCATACAGTTTGAGGTACACATTTTTATAAGGTTTCAATAAAATGTCTTAAGTCTGGGGGCAGAGACTTGCAGATTCAGGAAATGCTGGCAATACATGTCAATTGACAGATCTTGTTGTTGTCCTCAGGATATTTGCATATCAGCTGTTAAAGAGAAGGACATAGAGGCTAAGCTGAAGCAAGTCATCAATGACTGGAGCGCTCAGTCATTCCAATTTGGTAACTTCAAAGCTAGAGGAGAACTTCTGCTCAAAGGTGTGTTGGATCATGTTTCTGGTCGTAGGAAGTACAATAGAGCATTTAATGCTAATTATTCCAAACATTGGTTTACATAACTGCGCCTGTCTTCTTTTTATTCTTATCATTATTATTATATACAATAATGACCGTGGCATGTAGCATTTTCTGGATAACAATTTGTACTCCTCCCACAATCCAGGTAAAATTTCAATACCTGTTTTACATGCAGTGACTAGACTGGGATAATAGGATCTACAAACTTATTAATAATAAATGTCACAGAATACACCGCCTGCAAAACAGTGGGACCTTGGATTGTATTCTAAGCTGCAGTCATCTATTTTTGGAAAGAACATCTTTTTGCACACACAAAAAATCCACTCCTCACCAGTTTTTGATATCAATGAGCTCACCCCTCCAAGTACACCATTGATTATTACTATACATAATGCACTCTACCATAAAGCACTATACGCCATAAGAGTATACATTTAGAATACATTGTATTCTATGCACTAACTTTGATAACCCCCTCATTTCCATGGGAGAGTTCGTATCTGAAAAATGTGCTATTAGAAACACACCCGTCTCAATTTGTTTGGAAAATTGATGCTCTAATGTGTATAAATTACTTTAAAATTGTTTTGGCAATTAACATCTTACTTTATCAGCTAACAGTTTTGTTTTAAAAAGTAATTTGAAATTGAAACTACTAATATAATTATTGTTATATAAATTATGTATATTTAAGAAAACAATTTTCCTGCTCTCAGGAACTTATCAATTAAATGGTAATAAATAATACTAATTGAAATATTTTATTTTGTCTAGCACATGTTAATTTTTTTTGCTTTTAAGAGTATACTGTAAAGCTGTGTCTTGAAAAATGTGTTGTATTTCTTTTGATAGGTGATGCTACTTCTGAGACAGTGGCATTGATGGAAGACAGCTTGATGGTCTTGGGAGCACTTCTCAGTAACAGGTTAGTTAACAATTAATTGGACAGTATAACATTATTATGATAGTTTTAATAAAACAATAACAAGTAAAGAAACCTTTTAGTGATCTAAGTTGTGATCTAAGTTTTGTAAAAAGTAGAAAAAATCAAAGCTAACAACTGTGGTCAATGTCTGTAACAAATCAAAGAATATGATATAACAATTGTCAACTGTTCACTGCAAGAATTTCTTGCAAAGAAGTGTGTGACAGTAATCATGTGTTCTGACTGAACTTAGTGGTCAACAAATGACCTGATTGTCCTGTGTTGTTGTCATGTTGACTGAATGGACTTGGTGAGTTGTTTTCATGAGTGTCTAAGCTTAAATGTGTGAATATTGGATTGATAACTGGAGTGGGTGGTCATGTGATGTGGTGTATGAAAAGACTGGAAGATGAGTATAATACAGTCAGTTATGACACAGGCCACAGCCTTGTGTGTTCATATTTATTACACTTTTAAAAACTGATGCTTTTTAAAAGAAAATAAGTAATTAGCTAGTTATATAATTATCAATATATACAAAGGTAGACAGATTTGAAAAAAAATAAAAATAACACTGAACTATTAAAAGATTTATGAGACATTTGTACATGAAGGCCTGTAGAAGGGTAATGGCAGAGTACATATGTTAATTAATCCAACAAACACCCATCTATCAAATTATGTCAACAACACTAAGGTGGTATCATTTTTTATTATTCATTAGTAAACTGTGTTTCAATCCAGGTACAATGCTCCATTCAAACCCAAAATTCAAGAATGGGTCCAGAAGTTGACAGGTACAACAGAAATTATTGAGAACTGGCTGATTGTACAAAATTTATGGATCTACCTAGAGGCTGTTTTTGTTGGAGGTGATATTGCAAAACAGCTGCCCCAGGTCAGTTGTAAAACTGTTTTGGTAATTTAGCTTAAAAAAATGTATTAATCACGGCTATTTTATTTGATGAGGGTCTCTTGTAACTTTTACTTGCATTCAAGATATTATATATGAATATCAATATTGTAATTATTAAAAAATGTAAAAACTATGAAAATATTTGTGTTTAAATTTAATTGAAAAAAACATTATTTGTTTAATAGGTTAATAATTACAAAATTAACAAGCAGTTTTTAACAATTTCTTAACTTGAATAAATACAGCATTTATTTTCTTAATTTAAAGAGCTAAATCTCATTTAATTCAGTGCTTCATTTAGTCTTAATTCAACTAGTAAAAATTTGTTTCAATAAGCTAAGAATTAAATAGGATAATTTGAATGCAAAAGCTAACAGCTAATTAGAAACTAATTTAGCAACTACTCTACTTGATTAATTTACTACTAAGGCATAACTGGGGGGGGGGGGGGGGGGGGGGGGGGGGGGGGGGAGAGGGGGCAATTTTTTTTACATTGGGTCTGAGTAATTTGAGAAAATACCCAGTGGGTGCAAGTCTTACAAAAAAAGAGTTAATTTCTCATTTTCCATAATATATGTCGGCCCATAAGCAATAGGCATGCAAATAGTCCTACACCGTAATTGCCAGACTTTAAACAATAGGCCTACAGACAGTCCTACAGACAGTTCTATAAATAGTCCTACAGACAGTCCTTACTACAAACCCATTGCTCTTTGATTAATATAATAGTTGCCTCCGAAAAAATTAATCTTTTTTTTACCTTGGTTCAACCATCATGCATGATGCTTGCTGCTTGAGAGCTTTTTTGTGTTTTCACTATGAAACAAGGGGGCCGGTTGTGAAAAGCAAGCACCACTCTAGAAGCAAAATGTATACTAGAGATTCTGTCAAGTTAAAAAGTTACATTTTTGTAATAATTGTTTTAAGTTGTTATGCATTTTTAAAAATGTAATCTTTATAACTGTTGCTTTGATCAATGATAAAAGCCATGGTATAGGGTAAGTGATTAAACAGCATTCCATGTTCAGTACTCTGTTTTATCTCACAGGTAAACACAATGCCATTTCCATTTTTGGATGCTCCTCATGAAAAGAAATTTCACAATCACAGTTTCACTTGAAAATATTTTTCACATTCACACTTTTAATATTGATATTCAACTGCTCTTATCACATTGATGCAGTTTTATAAGATTCTTAACAATGATTATGTTTTACAATACGTCATGGGTTTTTCAACATAATAACTGTTTTAAAGATAAGCAGCATCCATAAAATAGTTATTTCCATTTAGATAGATTGATTTCATAAAATATCCAAATTACTTGAGTTAGAATTTTAATTTTAAAAGAAATGTCCATTGATTTTTATTCTTTTGTTTAAATCTTGCAACACACTAAACTATAAACCTTTTGAATAAACACATTTTTTTCATGACACACTGGTTGAAAATCACTGCTTTACATTAGTATGAAGCATAAGTTATGGCCTACGTCTTTCTTAAATTATTATCATCATTTAATCTTTTAAAATAACATATCTTTAGTGAAAATTAAAAAAAAAAATCGAAATACCTATTGCCCATCTCCTTTATTAGTCTCCTTGCCATAAATGGACTACTTGTTTAAATTTTTCAGGAATCGGTGGTGTAGGAAGGGGGTTGCGGAAAGGGTGGTTTGCTCCGGACAGCTCTTTTTTTGTAATATGGAGGGGCGGCAGAGTTTTTTATGGAAGGGTGAAGGGGGACAATAATCTTGGCCTGTCCCAGGTGGCACTAACCTTGGCTATGCCACTGCAAGGAATGGTGAACTAAAGTAACTTAACTTTGTCTCAGAAAAATCACATTTTGTGTTTGCATAGGACTAAAATTTCACTATTTCTAAACATGGGATCAACTGAAATCTGCTGTACTTTCACACTGATGCAAATTGTATCAATAGGTTTGTGAAAATGTGCTAATTACAATGTAGTTATCATTTATTTATCATGTTACTTTACAATTCATGCATGGCAATCATTTTTCATCAGGACTGATGAGTCAGACCATTTGGACCAGTCTCAGAATCAGTCGGAGCTTAACAAATTTCTGTGATTTAAAACTATTCCACATAATATATTTTCAGAATAGGAGGAAAAAAACAAAATGAACACAAATAAAAAATAGATGGAATGGTTTCATATGCAAGAGTTTGAGTTACAGGGCTATAAGACTAGGCCTATGTAATTTTAAAAATAACTTTTCCCCCAAAATGTGAAATGAAAAAATTAATGTATTTAAGAAAATCATTATATTCAATAAATAAAAATATTCCATATGACACCACATAATATTTTTTTGACCCATTTTTTTGTATATAACAGTGATATATTTATTTTTGGCATAAAATTTCAGGAAGCTAAAAGGTTTAGCAACATTGACAAATCTTGGCAGAAAATTATGCAACGTGCCCATGAGAATTCCAATGTTGTTGGCTGCTGTGTGGGCGATGACACACTGGGCCAGTTACTGCCTCATCTGCTTGAACAACTGGAGATCTGCCAAAAGTCACTCACTGGCTACCTGGAGAAGAAGCGGCTGCTATTCCCCAGATTTTTCTTTGTGTCTGACCCTGCACTTTTAGAAATTCTAGGTCAAGCCAGTGATTCACACACAATTCAGGTATGATTATGGCAAATGACACCAATGGTGAAAGATAATTGATAGATAGGCAGTAGGCCATGAAAGCTTGCTCTTACCTCTGAGTTTTTATGGGCTGAGCCAAGATGATCTTTGGACATGAGCATTTAAATTTTCTCATTTATAAGAGTTCTAAATGCCAGAAGTATCAACCAAAAAAGTTATTTATAATCAGAAAGCCATGAGAGCTGAAACATTCAGATTTTTTAAGATAATGAATAACGAGCATATAAAATGATAGGCTGAAGATAAAAATGTGTTAGGAAAATTTACTCAACCAAACTACTGCAATTTCCATTTAATTAAAGAAAAGCCTGAGTGATGAAATTTAAAATTAACTTACATTATTTTATTAAAAATTAACTCTTTTTAAATACATTTAAAAAAGGGTTTGTAAAACTTATTTTGGGTCTTAAAAAATGTGTAGTTTTAGAAGTAGGGCTGGACTATGTTAGCTTAAATTAAGGATTACAAACTAGATTGTAATATTTAGCTAGTGGACAAAATAATGTCCTATTTCATTTTTTTTTTTTCCTAAGAATCACCTGTTGAGTGTTTTTGATAACACTCGCCTTGTTACATTTGATGAGAAAGTCTATGACAAAATTCTGGCTATCAACTCCCAGGAAGGGGAAAAAATTGATTTGATAGAACCAGTTTTGGCTCAGGTAAGTGAAGGATTACTCAAAATTATGCCAATCATATATTTCATTTAGTTTAAACTTAAATATTATTTTGCATTTAAGAGATTCCTTTCTTTGGTTTCATTTAGATAGATGATTGTAAAATTAAGGAATGTTAAAAGTCATATTATTATTAATTCTTTGTCTCTAATTTGCAAAGCTTCGCTGCATTATCTTTTGAATGAGCTTTTTAAATGTATCTCTTTAACTAATAAAATGGGTAATGTCCATCTGCTTTATTCTTTTTTCACAATGTTTTTGAAATGTCACAGGGCAATGTTGAGCAATGGCTTGGTGACTTATTGAAAGGTTCACGCCGTGCAGTACATGCAGCAATCAAGATGGCTGCCATCTCCATTCAAGATTCTGGATTCAATCTCCTGGAATTTGAGAACAATTTTGCATCTCAGGTAAGCCAGTAAAAATGTAATGATCAGTTAATTTTTTAAATTACTAAAGGACAAACAGTTAATGAATGAGGATGATGACCTAATGGAGGTTTGTCACATGTACAATTGTGCTTAAGTAAGAGAACCCACTACACTCTTATCTCTACACCATTCGGTATAAATAGCAAAACTATTATATCATTTAATGTCTTCTAGATTGGTCTTCTTGGGATACAAATGATCTGGACCAGAGATGCAGAGGAAGCACTGAACAATGCCAGGACTGACAAGAAGGTCATGGTCAACACCAACCAGAGGTTCCTGGACATGCTGAATCTTCTCATTGAGCAAACAACCAAAGATCTGACCAAGATGGAGAGGACCAAATATGAGACTCTCATCACCATACATGTGCACCAGAAGGACATATTTGATGATTTGGTAATAATTATAAAATAAATTCATTCATTCATGGCAAAAATAAGTTCTTAATATGAGACTCTTATCACCATACATGTGCACCATAAGGCCTTATGTTATGATTTGGTAATTTTTAATAAATTCATAAATTAATTTGTTCATGGCAAAAATTAGTTCATAAAATGACTCTCATCCCCATACATTTGCACCAGAAGGACATATTTGATGATTTGGTAACTTTTAATAAATTCATAAATTCATACATTCATGCAAAAATTATTTCATAAAAAGACAACTCCATCCTGCTGATAATGAATGCACATTCAATGCATTTATTTAAAATATTTTTACCAAAAAGTTATAGGTCCTAAAGTCCATAGTATCCACAATACGTATTTGGAGTATTTTGTTAAAATAATGCATTATTTAAACATATTTTTTAAAAAATATATAACTGTAGAAATTTTAATTATCATATTTTAAAAACTTATTCATATTTAGAATGTTTATTTTCTTCTGAAAAACCATAAATGGAATTAAACCTACTATTATGCAGACTTTAAAAAAAAAGGATTTAAAAAAAAAATGGGTTTCTATTTGTTATAAAAAGATTTTAAAACTAAAAAAAAAATCAGGTCAAAGCAGGACATGAAACAAAACAAAAAAACTTTTTAATAATGAAATTTTAAAATTTCCACCAGGTTCGTATGCACATCAAGTCAGTGAATGATTTTGAGTGGCTGAAACAGTCTCGGTTCTATTATAAGGAGGACATTGACACCTGCATTATCTCTATCACTGATGTAGACTTCACCTACATGATGGAGTTCCTGGGTTGTACTGATAGGCTTGTGATTACTCCTCTGACTGACAGGTGAGTTTTACCTACCTGGTTGACATGTTGAATATCTCACCTTATTTCATCTCTCGTTGAGAATTCGGTCATTATTCTCCCGATTGACAGTTAGCTAAATCTCCAGCTTTTTCATGTTATCTCTGACTTACATATGTTTTTCAAGAGGAAAGTTTTTTGAGAGTAGATTGATCTGATGTTATTGATTTACATATTTGAGATTTATATATTGTTTTTTTAAAAATAAAATTAATGAATGCACCCAAATACAAATAATAGTATAATGTTTTTTTTTAGGGCTTTGTATAAAAAAAATTGGCAAATGGAGAGACATCTATAGATGTATTTCAATAAAAATTAATTCCACTTCATAATAAATCATTAAAAAAGTTGCAGAGAGCAATGAAATAGGAATTTTTTTTACATGGAAGTAATTGTGATAATTTTGACTTAGGGTGAGCATGGAACAATTCAGGGGTCCTGAGAATCGCAGATTTATAGTTCAGATCTTATAATAACAATCCTTGTGCAGGAAAGGGGAGCACAGTTGCATATTATCTTCATTTTCATTAAATTTCATCAGATGTTACATCACTCTGGCCCAAGCATTGGGCATGGCACTTGGTGGTGCTCCTGCTGGCCCTGCCGGGACTGGTAAAACAGAAACCACAAAAGACATGGGCAGATGTCTCGGCAAGTATGTCGTTGTCTTCAACTGTTCTGACCAGATGGACTACAGAGGTCTGGGAAGAATTTACAAAGGTAATAATTCATTGTAGCTCTTAACAATGGATAGTAATATTGAAAATTGGGTCAAATGTGTACTATAACAAAATCAAGTAATGCATTAGAGTTTAAATACAAAATCAAATATTTAGAAATTCTCCACGTATTAAAAATATTCATTAATTTTTAAAAAACATTAATATTTCAAAGTTAATGAATTGGTACGTTTTAGTAATGAATCATTTTAACAAATTTAAGCTGGTCAATCATTATTGTTTATCGTATGATTCTCCATTATCTAAAAGGTATGAATTCCAAATTGTTTAGTAGGCATGATTACCATATTTTCCCTCGTCTTAGCATAAACGTTTTCAAAAGTTTGAGTGTTAGTGTCTTTTACTGTTTTTGTCCTTCAGTTTATTTGCGCCGCACATTTTTTTCCTTCACTTTTTTTTCGCCCCCCCCCCCCCCCCCCCCCAATCCAAAATGCCAAAAAATCTTAATAGGACTAAAATCTACATATGTCTACCAGTGACTTCTGTGTTTCAGGTCTGGCCCAGTCTGGTTCCTGGGGTTGTTTTGATGAGTTTAACCGTATTGAACTCCCAGTGCTGTCTGTGGCTGCACAGCAGATTGCCATTGTATTACAGTGTAAGAAAGAGAGGAAGGTCCAGTTCATCTTCACTGATGGTGATACAGTTGACATGGACCCTGAGTTTGGCTTGTTCTTAACAATGGTAGTATATTTTGTACACGTTAAATTCAAATATAGTTAAAATAGCAAATTTTACATTTTAATGAACACCTGAGTTGTCAGATAATTTGAGGTAATTATTTAGAATATATTATATGACATTAATATGTTTCCTTTAAAAGCATTGAAAAGAGGATTTTAATGAGCATAATTTTTTTCCACACATCAAACAACTAAAGTTTTGCTGACCTATTACATATTTCACAATGACAGATCGCATATATTTGCATTTTGTTTTTAACTTTTATTTTTCACACCCTAGAATCCTGGCTACGCCGGGCGTCAAGAGTTGCCAGAGAATTTGAAAATCAATTTCCGAACTGTGGCCATGATGGTGCCTGACCGTGCCATTATCATTCGAGTCAAACTGGCCAGTTGTGGTTTCTTACAAAACATTGTCCTGGCCAAAAAGTTCTTTACCTTGTACAAACTTTGTGAGGAACAGCTGTCCAAGCAGGTCATTTATGTTTTTATATTGATCAGTTTTATTTTATTGAATTAAAATATTTTCCGAGTATTGATCCTATCAACTAGATTACTCACTTTATATTTTACATAGTGGTTATGGTACAATGGCTTTGAGTCTAAAAATATTCTCATTAATAACTTCCTAGAGCTACAGCCTAAAAGCAAACATGATTTAAAATGGGAAGTGCTGCTGTTATATTAACAAATGGACCCTAGGGAAAGTAAAGACTTTGTATTTAACTGCTTTGGATTTCTTTTTGACCTCATAATCAATTGATTTCTACTGCTCAATTCCTTTAGGTCCATTATGACTTTGGTTTACGTAATATCCTGTCTGTCCTGAGAACCCTGGGTGCATTCAAACGAGCCAACCCAGAAGATGGTGAGCCAATGATTGTAATGCGTGTGCTCCGTGACATGAACCTGTCCAAACTGGTAGATGAGGATGAGCCACTGTTCATGTCACTTATTGAGGATCTCTTCCCAGGCATGACTTTGGATAAGGCAGGCTACCCTGACATTGAAGCTGCCATTGAACGCAAGGTTAGAACTCTAGCCAGTTACAAAGACTGACTTTTTCCACACAAATGTTTGTAAAATGATAACCTGAAAAATTGAGCAATTAAAATTTATTTGAACAATAAAATAGCTGAAACAGGACATTTAATGAATAGAAATAATTATTTCTAAAAATTAAAATATTTTATTTGCCCTATTTAAATAATTACTATTTAATTTTCAAAATTGTTATAAATAAATTAAGGGAGTTAGCATTTGAAAAACATTAGACATTTTTACTTCATATTTAAAAGAGTTGTAAAATTACATTGCATTATATAAAAAATGCACAATGCTTTGTTAGGTGACAGATGCAGGACTGATCAACCATGGACCTTGGATCCTGAAGCTGATTCAGCTCTATGAAACTCAGCGTGTTCGACACGGCATGATGACCCTAGGACCCAGTGGAGCAGGAAAGACTTGCTGTATACATACACTGATGAAAGCCATGACAGAATGTGGGACTCCCCATAAGGAGATGAGGATGAACCCCAAAGCCATCACAGCACCTCAGATGTTTGGTCGACTTGACGTCGCCACAAATGATTGGACAGATGGCATCTTCTCAACACTTTGGAGGAGAACACATAAGACAAAGAAGGTTCATGCTTTTTCAAATAATTCCTCTGTTGCAACAGACAAGTGGCTTGGTGGCAAAAGACACCCATAAACCTATCAAAACTGTTGGTTAATAGTTGAGTATTGTATTTACCACCATTTAATTTTTTGCTAAATGATGGAACTTGAATTCAAACAATTTTACATCAGCCTAATATTACCATGATTGTCTGCAGGGAGAACATGTTTGGTTGGTTTTGGATGGCCCCGTGGATGCCATTTGGATTGAGAACTTAAACTCTGTACTTGATGACAACAAAACCTTGACCTTGGCCAACGGCGACCGCATTCCCATGGCACCAAACTGCAAGATCATCTTTGAGGTTCACAACATTGACAATGCCTCTCCTGCCACTGTGTCACGAAATGGGATGGTCTTCATGTCCAGCTCCATCTTGGACTGGAATCCCATTCTGAAAGGTAGAGATTGAAAGAAAAATCTTGTCCTATGATTCTATTGTTTAAAACAATTGTTATATTCCATCTACATATGTTCAATTTGGAATCTAATAATAACAGTTTTTAGTTGAAAGAAAACAGTTTATAACAAGTATTTTTGCGTGTTAATTTTTTCAATCTAGCAATGATTTATACACAATATGTGATCATCATTCAGATATAAAAAGACATTTTAAGGAAAATACAAAAAATGCACATCCAGCAGCTGGATCAATAAAAAATATAATTTTGAGATCACCAGTCAAACTTATTTTCCATTGGAAATTGGTTACAATTATTTGGTAAATTTTAATTTGACAATAAAATTCATGAACCTTTATACAAAATTGTGAAAATCTGATTGATCAAATGTTATCATTACATCAAGGCTGGCTTTTGAAACGCCCACCACAACAGCAAGATTCCATTTTCAACAGCTTTGAATCAGTTTTCCCCAAATTGTATGCCTACATCACCCAAAACCTTGAGCCAAAGATGGAGGTATGTTTCAAGGGATGCGAAATCTGATGTTGAACTCAAAATTCTTATTATTGATACTTAATATTTATTCAAATCTAATTGCATACATTGACCAAGTTTTTGTTGTCCAAGTATCTATCTGATGTTCTCCATTTGACCAGGTACTTGAGTGCAATTACATCCGCCAATCCCTTGACCTGTTGGATGGGCTAATTCCAGGTGGAGAGGAACCTAAAGACATCAGCAACGATCATGTGAGGAAGCTGATAGTGTTTGCACTGATGTTCTCTCTGGGAGCTCTTCTTGAGTTGGAGGACAGGAAAAAGGTTGGTCATTATAGATGTTTGTACATTAAAAGAGAATATTAAAACTGTTGCTGCATTTGTGTTAGTAGCTTGTAAGAACCATTATATTGTGTTAATTTTTATGCTGAAAAAAAAAATGAAAATATTATAGGAATGAACTAGGTTTTTTTGATAATGATATCATGATAAAAAATTATTATTTTTTTAGCATATAATATAGAGCTCTTTAATTTGAATTACTAAAGGAAATTATACTGCATTTAAATAGTGTGTGTACATTATGCTTAGCAAGGTTTCAGTTTCAGATTGAATTATGACCAAAACTGAAAAACAATTTTGTCTTTGTAATCAGCGGGACATAAAAGTCAGGTATGATTGCCCTCTAGTCTGCACTTTAAACAGTTGTTTTTTTTTTACTTTCAATCCATTGAGAATATTTTGTGATTACAGGTCCAAGACTGGCTCCAGGCCAACTCTGATCTGCCCCTGCCTAAACTGTCCAATGATGACACCATCTATGAATATGTCGTCAGTGAGACTGGAGAGTGGGAGCACTGGAAGACTCGGGTCAGAAGCTGCTACTCAAAACATTAAATTATAGTGGACTCTGTCTAACAATGATAGTTTGTTCCTCTTAAAATAGATAAAACCGATGATTAAACTTGAACACTTCAAGGATATCTTTCAACTAGTTATTGATATCATAGTATTAATATCTGAAATATAATAATTGTTTTCTTGTCACAGGTACCTGAGTATGAGTACCCCACTGACTCCACCCCTGAATATACATCTATCCTGGTACCCAATGTTGATAATATGAGAACAGATTTCTTGATCAAAACCATTGCCAAACAAGGGAAAGCAGTTCTACTTATTGGTGAACAGGTATGATGAATGTTATGTTCATTTGTGCATCATAGCATTCATTTTTTAAGGCAAAAAAACAGACTCACTCACATAGTTGGTGTATAATATTGTGTTAAGTTATTGTATTTTACACCTGATATTACAAATCCGTTTATTTAAATTTATTTTAAATATGTTTTGCTTGTGTGATCTATATTTTGTTTCCCTGGCAATTTTAAAAAATAAATTTACTTGTAGCATTAAAAATAAAATCAATGTTGTCATTCAAGTACTTGTAGTAAACGTGCATCCCTATTTGTGATTAGGGCACAGCCAAGACTGTCATGGTACAGGGCTACTGCAATAAATTTGATCCAGAGTCACATATTTTCAAGAGTTTCAACTTCTCCAGTGCCACCACACCAATGATGTTTCAGGTGGGTTAATACGACAGTCTTATCTTATTAGTAAGCCAGTTTCAGTTTAGTCTAGTCTTGTTCTACTTTTTACAAATAAATATTGTATTTTTACTAATTTCTTAATCAAAACAAGGTCTACATCTATTCTAAAGTCATTTTTTTTTTTTTACTAGTCAAGATGATTTAATTTAATTTGTATACCATTTCAAGAAGAAATTCTTTCAATATTGCTGTTATTCTTGTTGTTCTAGCGTACCATTGAAAGCTTTGTGGACAAAAGAATGGGTACAACGTACGGTCCACCAGCTGGCAAGAAAATGACAGTTTTTGTGGATGACATCAACATGCCCATCATTAATGAATGGGGAGATCAGGTTAGTTTGATTATATCTGTAAACAAAGATGCCACCTTAGAATATAGAGATATGCATGTCATGTCATTTTATGCCATTGAAATGTTTACTTCATATTTACCAGAGTTGTACAATTACCAAAATCAATTTGAACATAAAGTTTGTCTCATTGCATTAAATTCACATCATTTCTACTCTGATCTTTTACAAAGTGTCATCACCATTACAATCAAATTATATGGAGGAAAAGTGAACCCTCGTTATTTTGAAAATGTAAAAATGTAAAATTTTTGTGTAACAAAGAAAGCTTAGAAACATCATATTTGCTCACATTTAACACACCACTGCCTCCATCACATCGAATATATCAGGTTACCAATGAGATCACCAGACAGATGATGGAGAACAAAGGATTCTTCAACTTGGAAAAACCTGGTGAGTTTACCACCCTGGTGGATGTCCAGATGATAGCTGCAATGATTCACCCAGGTGGTGGTCGTAATGACATTCCACAGCGTCTTAAACGAGCCTTCAATGTCTTCAACTGTACTCTGCCCTCAAATGCATCCATTGACAAGATCTTCAACACAGTTGGTCTTGGACATTTTATCAAGGTAAACATATATAGCATAATGGCTTCTAACCGAAATATTTTGATTTGAGTTTCTTGATAAGAAGCGAGGTATTAAAGTAGTTTTAAAAAATCCTTTATGTTACATTTAGTAATAATTTGTTTCCTTACTATGCAAATTAGTTATATTTAAAGAGTAATTTTAATTTAACTATCCCGAAATTATTGTTTGAATAATAATTTGAAAGGGCTTTAAACATGTAATGTGAAAGTGCTATAAAAATGTTTATTTTTGATTTCTTCAGGAAAGAGGTTTCCCAGATGAGGTTCATGAACTTGTGAAAACATTGGTATCAGCCACTAGACACTTGTGGCAGAAGACAAAAGCCAAGATGTTGCCTACACCAGCCAAGTTCCACTATGTCTTTAACCTCAGAGATCTCTCCAGGATCTGGCAGGTAGGAGTAGACCCTTGCTAAATTAAAGTAAACTTAATTGGAATTCAATACAACCTTATGTAAGCCATAATGCCTTGTCTGATCACGTTCAAAGAATATGGTATAGTAGTTCACCTTGGCGAAAACTTCTTACTTAGCATTTCAAAAACTCTCCTTTATATTTTAAGAAAAACGATATCCTTTGCAATTTTATATAAGAAATTTTGTTTGTTGTGTTGGGTATTTATCCTTAAAACTATAATTTATTTATATAGAAAAAATTATTAGAACTCATATAGCTGCTGGAATGAAATTATAAGAAATATACAAAGGTTAGAGGAAAAGCTAAAGGACAATAATAAAAAGTGAATGTTGGGCCCAAAAGCCTTCGACTACAAAAACAGTTCAAGACAGAGATAAACACTCTTAGATTGTTATATAGAGATGTAGTCTACAGGAAATGGTAGACATATGCAACTACGGAAGTGACCCATGAAATCAAAGAATTTGTCAATGAGATTAACAGGAAATGTAACTATCAGAAATAAATAAATAAACTAAATTTAAATAAGAAAAGAACTTATCCAGGATGCTATAAAGCAGCAAGGACCAAGTTGGTAAGGTTTGCAAGGATGTTGTATATGAGGCAAACACATTGAAAGAGCATCATGAAATTAGTTCCATGGTCTCTATGTAAAAGCTAGGCAATGGAGAAAATGGGATATCTTTCTGCAGGGCATGCTGAAAACTATTGGTACAGTTGTTACTAGCACAAGCATTCTGATGTCACTGTGGAAACATGAGGCCACCCGAGTCATTGCTGACAGGTTTACAGAGCAAGCTGATAAAGACTGGTTTGAGAAAACCATTAAACAGGTGATGTAGATACAACATTAATATTATGTTTCAATGACTGTATATATGATAGAGGAAGTTCATTGTTTTTACTATTTAACATTGTATATGATATGAGAGTAAAGCTTTCTTTAAATTATTTAATTGTATATAAATGTTGCTTTCATATAATCAGTAAACATGTATGGTGCTTAATCATAACTAATTTGAAGTTGTTTTTTGGGGGTAAGTTTTGTTGATTTTAAAATTAAAAAAAGAAAACGAACATGAAAAAATGAAAATAGCATATTGTCATAGCAGAGAAATCTTTATTAAATTGTTTTGCTTGAGATGATCACAGACTGCATTCCTGCAAGCAGTGTATTCATTGTTCTTACTATAACAAACAATGTATACTGTGTGACAGGTTGCAGAGGAGGACTGTGGATCAGTTCTAGCCAATGAAATGGATGCAGAACCCTACTTTGTGGACTTTATGAGAGATGCCCCTGAACCAACAGGTACAACATTATGATATGTTGCAACAAGCTATTTTAGCAAGTTTTAAACAGTTTTAATAAAATCTAAATCTGCAATACCTAAGCCCTCTTATAAAATGAAACAGACTGGAATTGAACCAAAGGAGTCGTAATGAAAATGTATCTAATTAATTATAGATTTAATAAAACTGCAATCAATAAACTATAAAAGCAAAGCCAGTTCAGCTCTGTGATGACAATATCTTTGTTAGGTGAGGAGTCAGAAGATGCTGATCTAGAGGCCCCTAAAATCTATGAACCTGTGGAATCCATGGATACCCTAGCAGAGAAGCTTCAGTTTTATCAGATTGGTTACAATGAGAGCATCAGAGGCAGTGCCATGGACCTTGTCTTCTTCAAGGTAGTGCCACTCACATTGTCTTAAAGACTTTTCAAACAAGTCATTCATTTATATTATTTTTTTTCTTATTCTGTATCTTAGTTGTGAATATACTTGCTAAATTTGGTAGAAAATGACACTGACATCTTAACCCTCTCTACTTTCATTCAGGACGCAATGACTAACTTGGTGAAGATCTCTCGGATCATTCGAACACCTCGTGGACACGCCCTGTTGGTGGGTGTGGGAGGTTCTGGTAAACAGAGCCTTACCAGACTGGCTTCTTTCATTGCTGGCTACTCAACTTTCCAAATAACACTGACCAGGTAAGATCTGTAGACAGGAAATCAAAAGAAGTAGTTTGTGAATGCTTATATATATATACTTTGGAGAGCTCTCATTGGTTCCACAGAACTTAGTTATAATTCAAAATTACTGTTATTTCATGTTGTAATTTGATAGTTTCTTAACTTGGTCAACAAAGAGCAATTAGCCAGCAAATGTTTTGAAAGCATTTTCTAAGATAAATTTTAAGAAGAAAGAGATGTATGCAATTACTGTATGTGTGTTCACTTTTAAGAAACTGAAAAATGAGCTGCAAATTTTGTCATTCCTGTTACAATTTGAAACATATATTTATGTATATATGTCAGATTATTTTATAGAAGAAAAAGTTCCTTTGTAAGATTCTTTAGATGAAATGTTCTTGCTGTTTTATAAATATGTCATTAAGTGATATATAAATTATTTGTCCAGGTCTTACAACACAAGCAACCTTCTTGAAGACTTGAAAAACTTGTACCGCAGAGCCGGTCAGTCTGGCAAAGGTGTCACCTTCCTGTTTACAGACAATGAGATCAAAGATGAGGCATTCCTTGAATACATGAACAACATTCTATCATCTGGAGAGGTTAGTGTCATTTTGTTATGCTCTACTTCTAAGCATAAAGATATTGTGATCATTGTCCTGCAGCTCAACCCTTTTATTAACTGCAAGGGAGATGTACAAGAATCATTTCTCAGAACGGTTCTACCTAAAATTCCATGTTTGGTATTATCAATTTGCACATCATGATATATTCTTTATTCATTAATCTATGAAAAACAGAAAATATCAGGTCTGTTAATTTATTGTTAGATTTCCCCAACTTGATCTAGAATAATTTTATTTTGTAAATCTCAATATTAATGCAAGGTTGCTTAAATACTTTTTGTGTGTTGAGCTGATCACATTTAAGATATAAGTTTGAAATTAAGCTTACATTAAGATAAAACTGGAGCAGTGAAACCCCTTTTTTCATTTGTCCCCTAGGTGTCAGGTCTGTTTGCCCGTGATGAAATGGATGAAATACTTCAGGAGTTGATTGCTGTCATGAAGAAAGACCATCCGCGACGACCACCAACCAATGAGAATTTGTATGACTTCTACATGTCTCGAGTCAGGGAGAACCTTCATGTTGCTTTGTGCTTTTCTCCTGTAAGTTACATTTCACTGGCACTTTTACAGTTTAGGAGCCTTTATTCATTAACATACTACCAAACTCATTGATTTTTATAACTTTCCCTGATAAAATTTGTTTATTTGACAGTTAAATATTTCTAGGCTAATAACTAACAGATTGATAAAGCCAGTATACACAATATAACATAGCTATACCTGAAATTCTAAAATTTTCACAGGTTGGTGAAAAGTTCCGCAATCGTTCCCTCAAGTTCCCCGGTTTGATTTCTGGCTGCACAATGGATTGGTTCCAGAGGTGGCCAAAGGATGCCCTGGTTGCTGTGTCCAATCATTTCCTGTCATCGTTTGATATCACCTGTACACCAGCAGTCAAGTCAGCAGTTGTGAACACCATGGGTTTGTTCCAGGTGGGATATTGTAGCTATAAGATTTGAATTGTAATGCTGCATTTATGCTTCCCTGTTGGTGGGCTCCAGTGGTAAGTGTGTCTACACTCAATTATAACACAGCACTGGTTTGGGGTGTCTAATTGTCTGGGTGAAGCATACACCAGCTTGAGATACAACTTCACCAAGTCAAGCCAAATGATGACAAAGTACCAGTTATTTTTGAAATATTGAAAACTCAAGAAAATACAGAGCCAAAATAAAATATTTTAAACTTTAAAAATAGATTGTTATTAAGGAGACTTGTTATTATTTAAAAACAAGATTTAAAATGTAGACAAAAAGCTATGTAATTAATAAATTTTTAGAATGTTGAGTGCATGAATTTATTACATAATGTTAAAACTAACACATTTAGTAAAGTGATAATATTTCGATTTCTGATATCATGTAACTTTAGGACATGGTCGCTGAGATGTGTGTGGACTACTTCCAGCGTTATCGTCGTCAGACCCACGTCACACCAAAATCTTACCTGTCTTTTATTGCCGGATACAAAGTAATCTATAAGGAGAAGAAAGAAGAGATTGGTCTGTTGGCCCAAAGAATGAATACAGGTAGAGTATTGATCCATGGAAAATAATCTTTGCTGATCTTCTCACAGTAATAGTATGAAATACAAGAGAAAATTAGATTGTAAAAGAAAATCATGAAGGGTTCATTGCAGAAATTGTAAACATTGTTCACTTATTCTTTCTCTCTTGTCTTATCATACCTCATTTAATACAGGTCTTGAAAAGCTGATTGAAGCAACAGAGTCCGTGAATGAGCTCAGTAAGGAGCTTGCGGTCAAAGAGAAAGAGTTGGCAGTAGCCTCCAAGAAAGCTGATGCGGTGTTGGCAGAGGTGACAGTGAAAGCTCAGGCAGCAGAAAAGGTCAAAACCCAGGTGCAGAAAGTCAAGGACAAAGCTCAAGCCATTGTAGACTCTATCTCTGTAAGTTAAAACAATTTTTCTCTTAATGCTGTGGTTAAAATATTCATTAAAATAACTTTGACAAAATAGTATGTCATTTTATTGCCGTAAGGTCATGCAGAATAACATATAAAATATGTCAATGATAGACCTGTCCAGAAAGAGCAGTGTAACACCACACAGATATCAGGATGTTATAAACTGTCAAATTTAATCATATACACAACTCCAAATTGTTTCAATAAAGGTTGACAAAGCAGCTGCAGAAATCAAGCTTGAAGCAGCCCGTCCAGCCCTCGAGGAGGCCGAGGCAGCCCTCTCCACCATTAAACCAGCTCACATATCTACTGTACGGAAACTGGCCAAGCCACCTCACCTCATCATGAGAATTATGGATTGCTGCTTGCTTCTCTTCCAGGTGACTCATTTCTTCTGTCTTTAAACTTCCTTTATCTCTCATTTCTGTATCTGACAATGAGAGATGATTTTTGTCTTTAGTTGATTCTCTTCAGCTTCTGACATTGGTAATTAAATAGTGCAACAAGATGTGTTCAGGTTTTAAAAAAAAAAATGAAAACTAAGTGGATGTTTTGGTTTGATGTCTTTCTTGGCAGACAATACAATGCAATAAACAATAGATAAATTTGAATACAAAATAAAACTTATGTTATCAACGATCTCAATAAAGTCAATGTAGCTCAATGTTCACAATGTAGAACAGGAAGCGTTCTATGTTATGTGGGTTAGTGTTCATATGAAAGCCTCCTTTTAAAATTTTTTATATAACCAAAGTCTTGTAACTGAAGTCTTATATCTGAGTAAGAAAAAGTGTTGTCTTGTGTTGTCTTATGTTATTATCGCACTAAGATAATTTAATAACTGTACGAAACAAAACAAAAAAACAAGTCTACTTTGAAATTTCAAAAAGTAAAAGCTGCCCATTATTATTCCAGAGAAGACTTGACACAGTAACACAAGACCCAGAAAGAAATTGTGTGAAACCATCTTGGAGTGAAGCCCTGAAACTCATGAACTCTTCTAACTTCCTGGGAATGTTGCTCAATTTCCCCAAGGTGAAGCATTTGTTTTCTTTAAAAATAAAATCATTATTTTCACTTATTATAAAAATTGGTGTCAGTTTTTAAATACCCCTTATAGAAGACCAAAAAATAATATTGAAAGAGAAGGGTGCTTCTTCTATTGTAAGCATTGCTTGGAATTCCTTTAATCTTGTTTCCAATCCATTTCTTGATGACAGGATACCATCAACGCAGAGACTGTGGAACTTCTGGAAGTCTACCTTACCATGGAGGACTATAACTTTGACCAAGCTAAGAAAGTCTGTGGTGATGTGGCTGGTCTCTGCTCTTGGACGGCAGCCATGTCCTTCTTCTATACCATCAACAAAGAAGTCCTGCCACTCAAGGTTAATTTTTATTTACAGCTCCTTCTCCTTCTTCTAAATATTAAGGACCCACGATCAATGCGTTTATCATTCTGACTCCTGTATATGTAGAGGGGATTCGCAATGTTTCTGTGCTTGGTTTTGAAAAGGATATTTCACTGGTTGCAAGGGCTACTCAGTGAGGGTATCATGAACTGGGTGTTGGAAGGCCTGAGGCAACAGACGCAAATGTGTTCAGTGTAGTCGCCTCCTCAACTGTTCAGGAAGCTTGTTTCAGTCCCTGATTGTCTTTGGCAAGAATGAGCAGTTCCTGTATTGTGTTCTTGCTATTACGAGACGGAACTGCCTGTAACTTAAGGACTTGGTATTTTCCATGGGCTGCTTACTATCTGAATACATTAAGGGACAACAAAACTGAATCTAATTTTTGACTACATTAAAGCTGTGATAAGATACATTTTATATCTCTAATTCTGATCTGTAAAACAAAAGATGATATGAAATGCCTTTAGAAATGTATCTATCAGCTGCCAACAATGATATGTTATTAAACGCTTTCCTAATCTTGTGTCTCTAGGCCAATCTGATCAAACAAGAGGCTCGTTTGACAGCTGCCAATAATGATTTGGCTGAGGCACAGGCTCAGCTTGATGACAAACAGAAAGAACTGGATCAGGTGCAGGCTTTATTTGATGCAGCCATGGCAGAAAAACAGGTGAGTTCTAATGAGGCCTCCTGGCTGTCCTGGTCAGCAACACAGTCTCATGAGGGCGCAATCCAAGTTTGAATTTCTTTCAAACCAAATGTAACAAAGAATGTTGGTAAAAATCCATCTTTGTTTTGTGATGTTTATCATGAAGAATCTCTGTTACACTTATCAACAATCATGTTGACTGCACTTGTAAAATTATTATATTTATGATTATGTTATTGAATGTTATTTTTATGTCATTAAAGGTTATATTATTTTATTAAGTGTTATATATATTATGATGTTATTAAATGGGTTTTTTTTGTTGCTTTTTTTTGGAAAGAGCAAGCAAAATAAGTTTTTTTTCAAAAAAAATTTGGCTACCATTTACACTATTCAGTATCTAAATTATGAAGTCAATCATGTGCCTACATTTTATTATTGAAATTGCTAGATATTCTTTCAACTTTTATTACATTTTTGTTCAATCCATGTTTGTCTGACCTCAGACCCTGATGGATGATGCTGAAGCCTGCCGTCGTAAAATGAACAATGCAGAGGCCCTCATCAATGGTCTGTCAGGGGAAAAGATCAGATGGACAGAAGCCAGTAAAACATTTGAAGCCCAGATTCAGAGGCTTGTTGGCGATGTTCTCTTGGCCACTGGTTTCTTGTCTTACTCTGGACCTTTCAACCAAGAGTTTAGGAACTTGATGCTCCGTAGCTGGAAGAAAGAGATGTCCGCCTCTAAGATCCCATATAGTGATGTGAGTTGTTTCATCCTTATGCTACATAAAAACAATCTTTCCTTGTTAAACTAGTCTACACAACACTAAAGTATGTTATAGCAGTCTATATTACACTGCACTACACTTTATTTGGATCCCTAGTGGTAGTCCAGATTGATCTTTTTACTTTTGTCAGCAACTTGCTCTCAACACTGATAAAATTGTCAGCAATTAGTTCTCAACACTGATTAAACTGTCAGCAATACTCATAATTATCATTATGTAGTCTTTATACAGTCCAAAACATCAATTAATATTGTACACTATGCACAATCAGAAACTAAACTGCCAAAATGGCTACCACTAAAACTTGAAGTCTCAACAGCCAGTCACTCTATTCCACATTCAAGGATACTGCTTGAAAATCACATCTGATGGTCCTGAGAATTACAGAGAACTCTGAGCACAATTATCCATGCAAGAAATCTCTACATACTATGACCACTTACTTATGACAACTGACAAATACTCTCATGGTCACACTATATACCATCACCCACTTGTTTATTATTTCCCTTTCATCCTCATCACAAATTAACATAAAACTACTATCAATGCTCACAGCTCACAATCTAAAAATATTCACACTAAACCCAGTGATTCCCATACCTTGACTCAATCGTGTTGCGCTAGTCTACACTAAGCTTTGTGCAAGCTAGTGTACACTAAGCTTTGTGGAACCAATCTTCACCAGATTATGTTACTCAAAGGAGGCACAGCAAAAGTTTTCATTCTGAAACATTTCATTTTTCTGAAGCAGATTTTAAAGATTTGTCCATAAAATATGAGCTGACACATAACACTAACCCATTATCATTAAACTGATCCTGTCATTGTTGTTAACCAATTAACATTGTCCTTAGGATCTGAACATTACATCCATGCTGGTACTTAACACCACCATATCTGAGTGGAACCTCCAAGGCCTGCCTAATGATGAGCTGTCTATCCAGAATGGTCTCATTGTCACCAAGGCATCCAGGTACCCACTGCTCATTGACCCACAGGGTCAAGGCAAGGCGTGGATAAAAAACAAAGAAGGGAGCAATGATCTTCAGGTGAGGAGATTTTTAGCAGGATAAAAATAATTTTAAAAAATTTTTTGTTGATTCTTTAAAATAAATAAATTTCTAATGTACTTTTTGTTACTACAAAAATTTATTTTTCATTTTAAAATAAAAACTAAGACATTTCATAAGTCATTTTTTTTTTTGGTTATGTTTTTGATAAAAAAAAATATGGAAGTGGAGGTATAGAATTTAAAAGATTTTTTTCACATGATTTGTATCTTTGTCTATCAGATCACGTCCCTGAATCAGAAATACTTCCGTTCTCACATGGAAGATGCTCTTTCCCTGGGTCGACCTCTGCTGATAGAAGATGTTGGGGAGGAGCTGGACCCGGCCTTGGATAATGTCCTAGAGAAGAATTTCATCAAGTCTGGTTCAACATTCAAGGTGCGCCTCTTGCCATCAGTATTTTTAGGAACCAAAATCTTCAACTCTAAACACATCAAACTTATGGGAAAACCTTTAATTAACTTTTAAACTCCTATTTTTACTTTAAGTGAAGCATTCATTTCATGATATTTTCAGATAATTGTTTTGTGTGTGTGATAAAGTGCTACTGACTTAAACAACTTGGTTAAAAGCTTAACTTGAACTTTCTCTTTTTGGAATCCTTCTATCACAGGTCAAGGTCGGAGACAAAGAGGTGGATGTCATGAAAGGTTTCAGACTTTACATAACAACCAAGTTAGGTAACCCGGCCTACACACCTGAAGTGTCGGCAAGGACCTCCATCATTGACTTCACAGTGACCATGAAGGGCTTGGAAGACCAGCTTTTGGGTATAGTCATCCTAACGGAGAAGCAGGTTTGTAAATTTATGGTGGCTCTTGTGCTGTGCAGCTGCAGGTAGCTTTTATAAACTTTGATATTTCCATAATAAAAAAGATCACTGACACTCCGATAGCAAACAAAATAGTATGATTGATATCACTGTTGAACATCCAGCTCTATACTTTACAAATGAATACATCACCTCTGAAACAATATAGGTTTTGAACTGGCACAGGTAATCTTTAATGTACATTCGTCCCTCTATTTGTGATGTAATAGTTTCACTATCAATGAAACTTAAACCAATTTCATTGTGATGAGTTGGTTCATAAAGAAAGCCAGTAAGAAAGGGAACAAATCAAATGATAAATTAGTGTTTTAAATCTACTTACAAGGACCACTGACTTAAGAGAAATGACTAACAATCTCATGGTCATCACCCACTTGCTTGTTATTTCCCTTTCAACCCATCACAAATTGACATTAAGCTGCTACTAAAGCTCACAGCTCACAATCTAAAAACATTCAGACTAAACCCAGTGATCCCCATACCTTGACTCACTATGTTACACTATACACTAGTCTACACTACACTTTGTTGAACCAGTCTTTGTTATCCTGTCTCGAAACAACATATACCTTGTTCTACTATTTCCTTCACAAAGCTTCATTTATCATGGTTTAAATCTGCTCAGCTTTGGTACAAAAGACAAAATAAAACAAATTTTAATCATATCATAATGCTAAGGCTCTGTATAAGGATTTAACAGATTATTCACTAGTATTTGTACTTTTGTTAATATTTCTTAATGCAGTGATGACTAATTTATTTTAACAGGAATTAGAAGCAGAGCGTACGAACCTTCTGGAAGAAGTTACCAGTAACAAGAGGAAGATGAAAGAGTTGGAAGACAACCTTCTGTATAGACTCACTTCCACACAGGTCTGTATAGATAGTCATTTTATTACCAAAGTTCCTGGTTCTAACTTGTATGACCCAATTTAATTTTAGAGGATTTTGTTAAACTGTTGAGGAATAAAATTACTGCTACGCCTCTTGTACCCACTAGAGAGCTCCGCTCATCCGATAGTGGCAAACTCTCGACACCACGTGTTTGCCTTGAGACTTACGGAAAGCGCACTTTCGCATTTGCTGGTCCACTAATTTGGAACGCCCTTCCTGTCGATCTCAGAAACAACCAGACACTGGAGTCCTTTAAAACCGATTTAAAGACACATAGTCAACATTATTTTCCAGTTAATGCATAATGGCTGTGTTGCTTATGGTTGAAATGGCTAGAAAGACTTTGCCATTGTATGCTTGTACTTAGTTTTTGTCGTGTTGCGTTTGTTTTAAATGTGGTAAACTATAGATTTGTTTTTTTTTGACTTTGTACCGCGCTTCGAGCCTTTGGGGATGAAGCGTGTTTTTGAAATGAACTTTATTATTATTATTATTATTGTACATTTGATACAATGCTGTAATAACTTTTTGAAAACATGCTGAATATCTTCATGTCTTACATAAGTGCCAGCCATGGATTGCCCGTATTGAATGACTATATTTTGTATCAAAGGGCTCACTGGTAGAAGATGAATCCCTGATTGAGGTGCTGAAAGTAACCAAGATTACTGCTGAGGAGGTCAGTGAGAAGTTGACTGTTGCGGCAGATACAGAAACTAAGATCAACACAGCGAGAGAAGAGTTCAGGCCAGGTCAGCATGAAAAAACCCCACTGACCTTGATCATTAATTAATAATCATAAAACTGAAAACTTTAGGGATTTAGAACAACATTCTCCAATCAGGCGTCCACAGACACCTTGTAGAAGTCAATGCATGGAAATTATTCATTGAATTCATCATAATATAGCTAAATTTAAAAACCAATAAACTGAATTGAAGATTACAAAATTTTTTCACGCAAAATAAGTTTGTATTGTAATGCTATAATTATTTATTTTTTAACATGTGTTTTTATCATTATTGCCTATTCTGCCATTCAGTGGCCACTAGGGGCAGCATTGTTTACTTTGTGATTGTGGAGATGAGCATGGTGAACATCATGTATCAGACTTCACTGAAGCAGTTCCTGGAGATTTTTGACTTGTCCATGGCCAGATCAACAAAGTCTCCCATCACCGCCAAGAGGATCAACAACATCATTGAGTACTTGACACTCTCTGTTTTCAAGTACACCTGTCGCGGACTCTATGAAACTGACAAATTCCTCTTCACACTTTTGATGACCTTGAAGATAGAGATGGCTGGAGGGAGGGTCAGGCCAGAAGAGTTTGGGGTCTTTATTAAAGGTACGAGAAGGGTAATGTCAAATTTGAGCTATAGTTTCTTGTGTGTGTGGAAAGCAATGTGTTAATGTAATGGTTTTAGACTAGAAGCATAACTAGCTTTGATAACACATAGAATGGTTTTATCCTTCTTTTCTCTTTCTGTGTCTTTGCTAAACAATTACATTTATGTAAGGCTCTGTAATTATAATATTTAATTTACTTGTTCATCACATTGGTTACCTCTTGTGTCAGCATGTTTAATCTTCACATGCTTATTTCTACCACAGGCGGTGCTGCTCTTGATCTTAATGCTGTAGAGCCTAAGCCCAAGAAATGGATCATGGACATGACCTGGCTTAACCTGGTCAAACTCACGGAGCTTCCACAGTTCAGCCAGATACTACAACAGGTGGCCAGGAATGATAAGGTAAGTGTTTTGTAGAAAGGTTTGATAGGAGGAATCAACAAAAGAAGGAAAACTTATTTTAAAGAACAGTAAAAACTATGTCTAATAAATATTTTATTTTAATTTTATATTTGTTTTATTACTGTGTGTTTGCTGAATCATACTTCTTGCCAACACGTTGGTTGTTTTGTTGTCTCCTTTTTTCACTCATTACCAGCTATTTATTCATATTAATTTTTCTGTTACTCATGTGTTGACTTATTTCAATGGCTCAGGCTTGGAAGGCCTGGTTTGATGAAGATGCCCCCGAGGAATGTACCATCCCTGATAACTACAGCAACAGTCTGGACAACTTCCGCAAACTTCTGCTCATCAGATCCTGGTGCCCTGACAGAACTATTCCAATGGCCAGAGTATATGTAGCAGAGGCCATGGGTCAAGAGGCAAGTTGTTTTTTCTTCATATAGATATACTTCTGGAAATCTTGTTTTTTTAACCACTGTCTGAATTTAAATTATTGTGTGTGTTATCACCAGTTTGTGTCAAAATTGTGGTTGGATTACCAGGAAATATGCTAACGCAAAAGTTTGCAAAGCAAAAACTATGATTATTTTTTTTTGCATTCACAGGGAATAGGTATTCCGATTGTTTATTTACATCAATTTTAAATCTGAAGCTTTTTAATTATTAATACTAAGCTTTTATTGAACCCTTCAGACAAAAATAAGAGTGAACAGAGAATATAATAATGAGCTGCACTGATCTTAATGTCTCAGCCATGTCTTGTAGAACAGAGCATATAATAATGAGCTGCACTGATCTTAATGTCTCAGCCATGTCTTGTAGAACAGAGCATATAATAATGAGCTGCACTGATCTTAATGTCTCAGCCATGTCTTGTAGATAACCCATCTTCATGCATGCTTAATTAAATTTATTTCATAATAAAACAGTTTGCTGAGAGTGTGATCCTGAATCTGGAATCAATGTGGGAGGAGTCTCATGCACGTACACCGATGATTTGCTTCCTGTCTATGGGCTCTGACCCTACAGAAAACATAGAACGCTTGGCCAAACAGAAGGGCTTCAGTGAGTGACTCAATTATAGTTTAATTATTAACTTCATGTGGAGAGCTTTGGGTGCTTTCTTTGTTTACTTACTAACATATAGTGTTTATTTTTTTTAAAGTGTCTTTTTAAAATATTTTTACGTTTTTGAAATTAGAAATAACTTTTCTTAGCCTCCATTAGAAATGTCCAATCATGTCTTTGTCTGAATCAATCTTGAACACACAATTTGTGATATTTTAAGAAGGGGCAACTTTAAAAAACCCTACTTCTGTGCAGTCAACTTTGGACACCTATTAATATTCTACTACTATACCATCCAGCTTGAAGATGTGATAAAGACAGAGAAAAAAATTTGATGTGAAGATAAATGTTTCTTTACAATACAGAGTGTGGCGCCATCTCTATGGGCCAGGGTCAAGATGTACACGCCAGACGTCTCATGGCGGTGTCCATGGCTGAGGGCAGATGGGTTCTGTTACAGAACTGCCACTTGGGCCTAGACTTCATGGATGAACTGCTGGACACTGTAAGTTGTTTCACTTATATTCTGTCACTTTACTTTAACTACAATTATTATCACAAAGTAAATTTTCAAAAATCTTATACCCTAATAACACTAGAGTGTTTATAAAAAAAATTGTTATTAATGGTGTTTTAAAGTTCAAATTCAAAAGGACATACATCTAATTACAGGTATTGACCACTGAAAATGTGAATGACCAGTTCCGGATCTGGCTGACGACAGAGGAACATCCCAAATTCCCCATCAATTTGCTGCAGAGTTCAATCAAGTTTACTAATGAGCCCCCCATGGGTGTGAAGGCTGGCTTGAAGAGAACCTACACAGGTGTCACACAGGTAACTGCACACCCCTGGCAGAGATTTGTAGATAATTGGTAACAAAATGATGCCGGTACATGACAAATTGGTGCAGTGTATTCTAGTTATAAATCATGTTACTCATTCTTTATGTATACAGTTATATAGAACATACATGCTCATACATGACAAAGTGGTGCAGTGTATTCTAGTTATAAATCTTGTTACTCATTCTTTATGCATACAGTTATATAGAACATACATGCTCATACATGACAAAGTGGTGCAGTGTATTCTAGTTATAAATCTTGTTACTCATTCTTTATGTATACAGTTATATAGAACATACATGCTCATACATGACAAAGTGGTGCAGTGTATTCTAGTTATAAATCATGTTACTCATTCTTTATGTATACAGTTATACAGAACATACATGCTCATACATGACAAAGTGGTGCAGTGTATTCTAGTTATAAATCATGTTACTCATTCTTTATGTATACAGTTATACAGAACATACATGCTCATACATGACAAAGTGGTGCAGTGTATTCTAGTTATAAATCATGTTACTCATTCTTTATGTATACAGTTATACAGAACATACATGCTCATACATGACAAAGTGGTGCAGTGTATTCTAGTTATAAATCATGTTACTCATTCTTTATGTATACAGTTATACAGAACATACATGCTCATACATGACAAAGTGGTGCAGTGTATTCTAGTTATAAATCATGTTACTCATTCTTTATGTATACAGTTATACAGAACATACATGCTCATACATGACAAAGTGGTGCAGTGTATTCTAGTTATAAATCATGTTACTCATTCTTTATGTATACAGTTATATAGAACATACATGCTCATACATGACAAAGTGGTGCAGTGTATTCTAGTTATAAATCATGTTACTCATTCTTTATGTATACAGTTATATAGAACATACATGCTCATACATGACAAAGTGGTGCAGTGTATTCTAGTTATAAATCATGTTACTCATTCTTTATGTATACAGTTATACAGAACATACATGCTCATACATGACAAAGTGGTGCAGTGTATTCTAGTTATAAATCATGTTACTCATTCTTTATGTATACAGTTATACAGAACATACATGCTCATACATGACAAAGTGGTGCAGTGTATTCTAGTTATAAATCATGTTACTCATTCTTTATGTATACAGTTATATAGAACATACATGCTCATACATGACAAAGTGGTGCAGTGTATTCTAGTTATAAATCATGTTACTCATTCTTTATGTATACAGTTATATAGAACATACATGCTCATACATGACAAAGTGGTGCAGTGTATTCTAGTTATAAATCATGTTACTCATTCTTTATGTATACAGTTATACAGAACATACATGCTCATACATGACAAAGTGGTGCAGTGTATTCTAGTTATAAATCATGTTACTCATTCTTTATGTATACAGTTATACAGAACATACATGCTCATACATGACAAAGTGGTGCAGTGTATTCTAGTTATAAATCATGTTACTCATTCTTTATGTATACAGTTATACAGAACATACATGCTCATACATGACAAAGTGGTGCAGTGTATTCTAGTTATAAATCATGTTACTCATTCTTTATGTATACAGTTATATAGAACATACATGCTCATACATGACAAAGTGGTGCAGTGTATTCTAGTTATAAATCATGTTACTCATTCTTTATGTATACAGTTATATAGAACATACATGCTCATACATGACAAAGTGGTGCAGTGTATTCTAGTTATAAATCATGTTACTCATTCTTTATGTATACAGTTATACAGAACATTGTAAAAGACCTGTTTTAACTACCCCGAGTTTCATGGGTTTCTGGTGATAACTTTAATGTTAAAGGCATTACAGATGATTCATGAACAATTAGACTCTTTCAAAGATTTGTTTTATGGTCAATGCTCCTTTTAAAGATATTTTATTTTATTATTTTTTTTAAAAGGGGCTAAGCCTTGAACATTCTAACGTGACATCTATTTCTTTCCTGACAAATCTGCTTTCTGTAAAAAAAAAATTTTAAAATGCTGTTCCGGTGCATTCCATTACCACTGCTTACATTACAGGGACAACTGGGCTGTTCATTATTATTTATTATAATTGATATACCGGTAATACATACATTTCAGGAACAACTTGACTACAGCAACCTACCAGTGTGGAAGCCAATGCTGTATGGTGTGGCATTCCTGCACACCACTGTGCAAGAGAGGAGAAAGTTTGGCCCTATTGGTTGGAACATTCCCTATGAATTTAACCAGGGAGATCTCAATGCTACCATTCAATTTATTCAGAACCATCTTGATGATCTTGACCCAAAGAGAGTGAGTTGAGCTTAGCAGGCAAACATTTAAGAGCAACTGTTCAATTTGTCAAGGATCTGTTAACTTTATCAACCCAGGAAATTAATGTGAAGTAAAAAATATATTTTTAACAAAAAGCTCAGTAAACTGAAGGAGACCCCATATAATAATACTTGTAACCCTTACCCATGCATTTCAACCCATTGATATAAAACCAACCTGTCTCCAGGGTGTCAACTGGGTGACTGTGCGTTACATGATTGGTGAAGTACAGTATGGTGGTCGTGTCACTGATGACTATGACAAGCGTCTGTTGAACACATACACCCGTGTCTGGTTCAGTGAAAGCATGTTTGCAGACAACTTTGCTTTCTACACAGGTAAGAAATTATAAGACTAAAACTCCTCGCCGATGAGTAGAATCAGAGCATGATAGTTTCTTGAATTAAAATTTAAGAAATCTGAACTAATGGCCAACCAAGTCTGTAATTTAGTTTATTGTGAATTTAATTACACAAACTCGTGTGATAGGCGCATATTAAGCGATCTTTAATGTATAAGCAAATGCTGATGCTATAAAATTTTGGATTTTTAAAGCATCATTTCAGAATCAAGAGTTTAATAGAAAGCAACATATTAGACACAGCCTTGATTAGGCTGACAATATTTTAGCATTCATTAAACTAACAATATCCTAGTAACGAGAAGCTACTTTTCTTGTCCTCTTGTTACCTCCCATTTAAGACTGAAGTAAAATTTTGGTGAGATACTTAAAAAAGATAATAATTTGTGATATAAGTTCCATTCTGATCCCAAGAGTTTTCATTCTGTATAGAGACTGAATGTCCTGTAAATGCCAGATTTTTTGCTTGAGTTTTACTAGCTGGCAAATGAGTTCCCACTTGTCTCTTACTGCATTGTGAAAGGAGAAATAGAGGAACACGGTTATTAAGATTTACTTTATCTTTGTACAAATTATGAGACAATGCAAACATCGCCATTTAGATGATATAACATTTATTATGTTCAACAAATCCCAGGTTACAAGATTCCCAAATGCAAGACACTGGATGAGTACAGAAACTTCATAGAGGCTCTTCCCTTGGTGGATTCTCCGGAGTGCTTTGGTCTACATCCAAATGCTGACATAACGTAAGTAGTAAATGCATCATTTCATGGGTGGACATTTAAAAGGACACAAATTCAAAGGAATATGAAAATAATTTATAAAACCATTTCCGTATTTGTTCTAGGGCTAATTTTTGCAGGCAATTTTCAAACGCTCTGCTGTCTTCTAACTTTGGTGGTTGAGGTTGCCATCCTAGGCAAATGAGTCCATTCTATTGGCTATTTACTCAAAGATCGGGAAGATCTGGGATTTATTCCAATCCACTACCGGGTACTTCTGCACACAGCTTCACCAAATCAATGTTCATTAATTATTTTTAAAAATTATCTAATAATAATAATTAACTAATAACTATCTAATAATTATCTAATAACTTAGTTTAAGTATTCCTTTTTCATAAGTGTTTAGAATTATTGACAACAACTTCGAGCATGTGTTGAATAATCATACTACCAGCAAGAAGCCAGTATAGGAGCTGCTGCCCAAGACAATCAGGGACTGGAACAATCTTTCAAAAGGAACGGTTGAAGCGACAACACTAGACACATTTGTGTCTATTGCCTCAACCCCTAGTGCATGATTCCCTCACAAAGTGGCACTGGAAATCAGTGAAATTTCCTCAACACCAGTAACAGAAACATTGCAAATCCCATCTACATGCATAGGAGCCAAAATGATCAATAAATTGATCGTGGGCCCTTAAGATATAGAAGAAGAAGATAAATGGTAGTTCACCAAAGAATCTATGAAAATGTTACAATTTAATTAATCTGTTATTTTTAATTCCATGCACGCTCTGACTCCTTGCAAAGTCTTGAACTACTGTAACAAGTGCCCTTAAATATGGATCTCCTTTCAGGTACCAAACCAATACAGCCAACAAAATGTTATCAACCATTGTTAACATTCAGCCCAAAGATGCCGGCAGTGGAGGAGGCGAGACACGTGAGACTGTGGTCTACAGGCTGGCTGATGATATGTTGGAGAAACTGCCCCAAGACTATGTGCCACATGAGGTACGTGGGTATAACTTGATATGTATAAATGTAATGACCATTTGCATGTGATGGGGAATTTGATAAGTTTAGATGTTAGGTGTTGTGCCATGATAGAAAGAAATGTGAGGGACTTGTGGCAAAGGTAATGTCCAGCTCCATATGATGGGATTTGATATAAAGAAGGAATGCTAAGTGTTTCTCATTCAATATGTCAGTTTATCTTTGGTGTCAAGTTATGGTTGGCATAAAACAATTGACTAGATTAAGATTGTTATGCATTTGGTTTCCTATGCCTTATGTTATGGAACATAAAATCCTTCTTTACAGCAGTTTATAACAATGTTATTACCTCCTTGTTGCTTCAAGTTCTAATTATTTCCCGCATCTTGTCCAGGTGCGCGAAAGATTGAAAAAGATGGGCAGCTTGCAACCACTGAACATCTTCTTACGCCAGGAGATTGACCGTATGCAACGAGTCATCGGGCTAGTGAGAACCACACTAATGGATCTCAAACTGGCCATTGATGGTACCATCATTATGTCTGAGAACCTGAGGGATGCCTTGGATAACATGTTTGATGCTAGAGTCCCCAACAATTGGAAGAAAGTCAGTGACATTTACACAATAGCTGATACTGGTGTACAAATAATGATGACATATAGAATTGCACAATGTTGGTTGTTTCAGCAATTTATTAGAAAATAAAACAGAACATGTGCCTTTTCTATTACTCTGGTTAATGCTAGGGATATTCCAATATATTAGGCTGCAAACTGCCTCTTAGGAGTGGAAGGAATTAGATTACTTTGTGATGAAGGGGAACATTTTTGTTGAAATGTGTTATCATAGACACTTTACTTCACAACATGCATGAGAATAGTATCAAATATTATTGTTTTTATTTTTGCAAAGCAGCTTTGAAAAGTATGGTGCTAATTATTTAAAATAATGTAAGCATAGCTTAAATTTTTTTTTGAAGAAATGAACAAGTTATTTATTTTAAAATATTGTGCTCCATGTTGCTAAGCTGCTTCCTTAAATGTTGTCAGGTATCATGGCAATCCACAACCCTGGGATTTTGGTTTACGGACTTACTTGACCGCAACGCCCAGTTCAATTCCTGGCTCTTTGAAGGTCGTCCAACCACATTCTGGATGACTGGCTTCTTCAATCCTCAGGTCTGTAACGTCTAAAAGTCTAAACCATTGTTTCATTCCAAAGTTAGATTTAGTCTAAAAGTCTAAACCATTGTTCCATTTCAAAGTTAGAATTAGTCTAAAAGTCTTAACCATTGTTCCATTCCAAAGTTAGATTTAGTCTAAAAGTCTAAACCATTGTTCCATTCCAAAATTAGATTTAGTCTAAAAATCTAAACCATTGTTTCATTCCAAAGTTAGATTTAGTCTAAAAGTCTAAACCATTGTTCCATTCCAAAATTAGATTTAGTCTAAAAATCTAAACCATTGTTCCATTTCAAAGTTAGAATTAGTCTAAAAGTCTTAACCATTGTTCCATTCCAAAGTTAGATTTAGTCTAAAAGTCTAAACCATTGTTCCATTTCAAAGTTAGATTTAGTCTAAACCATTGTTCCATTCCAAAGTTAGATTTAGTCTAAGAGTCTAAACCATTGTTCCATTTCAAAGTTAGATTTCATTATTTAAACAATTATTAGAATTACCAGCCAGGCCAAATTATACAGAAATGTGTATGAAATCTTGATGTGTGTTTAGTTGTACATGGTCATACTATCAAAATAACTTGATTACTTGCACACTCTTTTAGTTGGAACTAGTTGTATGTTGAATTTGGTCAACAGTTAATGAGGAAATTTTGTTTTTCTGCTGGCAGGGTTTCCTCACAGCAATGAGACAAGAGATTACCAGAGCGCACAAAGGCTGGGCACTGGACACTGTGTTCCTTGAGAATGAAGTGACCAAGCTTATGAAAGAAGACATCACTAGTGGCCCTAGTGAAGGTAGAGCTAGTTTTTTTTTAACATGTGTGTTTCAAATAGTTTAACCTGAGGGATTTAAATTAAATGACAAGGCCTGTAATAATGATTGAGTGGTTTTGTAAAGTACAAAAATACTTAATGGTTTAGAAATATTTTTCCCATTCCTTTCTATACTGATAAAAAACATTAGGATTATCTTTTAGTTTTTTTAACACTTATATATATATATATATATATATATATATCCATTTGTTAATTTATTGATTGTAGTCCTTTAAATTACAAAAAATAGAAATGTTTGTTTTATTGTAAACAACTGAGATCATTTGATGGTTTGAAATCATGTCAAGTTAAGTTATCTACAAGGTGAAAAATAGTGTTCATTTTTACATATTATATTTATAACTTTGCCATTTCACAGGTGTCTACGTCTATGGACTTTACCTGGATGGGTCCGGCTGGGACCGTCGTAATGCCCGCCTCATTGAACCCACACCTAAAGTTCTGTACACGCCGCTGCCTGTTGTACATGTCTTTGCCAGCAACCAGGAGAAAACCCAGAGTTTGAATGTGTACAGTTGCCCTGTCTACAAAAAGCCCAACCGTACAGATTTAACCTACATCTTCCCACTGGCACTTAAGACCAACAAGACCCCAGATTACTGGACTCTGCGAGGTGTTGCCTTACTTTGTGATATCAAGTAAAGAACTTTGATCCAGTTCAATCAACAAATCTTCTGTTCTTATAAAATATTTTATATTAGCATGTTAAAAAAATTAATTAATTCCAGTCGTTGCAATTGAGATATTTTTTTACTTCCCAAAACCAGACTTAAGCTAAAGAAGTTGTCTTATTTGTCATCTGTTAATTAATTAATGTCTTGTCTGTAATAAATTTATTAATCAGTTAAGAAAATTTATAATAACAATACAATATGTCTTTTAGATCTTAATTATAAATACCCAATATAAAAACTCACAATGTTTTAAAATACATCAAATAATTAAGATTTATTTCTAAAATTATCCCAACATATAAATGAATGATTAAAAACAAGTTTACAAACTATTTACCTCCTTGAGATTTGTCGTAAACATACTTTCTGATATAGATGAGCTTAAAAGCAAATGCCCTTTTAACTAAACATTGGTTATATGTGTGATTTGTTTGCTCTTATTTAGTGTGTTGAATGATTTATGTATACTACGTCATTATTGATCTGGAATAACTTACAATGTAGGCCGAATGCTAAAAATTAAGCTGCATAAATGAAGCAAACAAAATGGCTTATGAGTGATAGAGAGATCTGTTTAGCCTAAGAAATGAGTAGTGTACAATTATTTTTACAAGTCACTTTGTTGTTTATTTATTGCACAAAGTTGTTAAAGTCTTTGACTTTACAAAATGTTGCATAAGGATTTAAAATAAAATTCTTTGAAATGTAAAAGCTATTTTAATAAATTTATGGGATATTTCACTTATTGATTGTATAATTATTATATAGCATAAATACCTAACATTATTATACCCAAGTGTTTCATTTAGTTTACATTACCTTTCAATGCATGACATATTTTCTGATATTTCTTAATATCCTTTTTAAAAGTGAACTTTCATTAGCAAAGTTAACAAAATTCACCAATTTGTTTAAAAAAAATAAACCGTATTTAAAACCATTGCAAAATTTGTCATTAAAAAAAATAATTAAAATCCCTCTAAAGTATGTTGAAACCCTTGACGAAAGCAAATTTACCATTTGAATATATTATATATTAATGTTTGCAATTTATGAATATGTGTGAAAATACAACATATTATACATTGTTGAACACAGCACAACTGATAAATTACTGTGTCTAAACCAAGTATTATTTTCCTTACAGATTTGAAGAAAAAAAAAGTATTATAAATATTTTACTTAACTCTAAAAGTGTGCAATTTTTTACCATGATTGTTTCATTGTGATATTGGAAACATCTATATTAGGCCTATACATTTTTTGTTGCTGTGTACCTTGAAAAATGACATTCATAGTATCACAAAGCAATCTGAACGGCTGCTTATCCCGTTTGTTATATTCTTTGTTTTTATTTGGGATCATCTGTGAGGCGTTAACTGTTATGTTAACACATACTATACTGACCTGCGTGCTGTGCATTCTTATGTTAGTGCATTGAATACCAAATATTTTAAGCTGTTGCACAGAGTACTTCTGTGGTGCTGAACAGTATTAAAGAACTGAACTATTTTTTGTCTTTGTGTTTTAAATAGTTTTTGAAGTACATGTATTTCAATTTAGAAGTGGTAAGAGAGAGAACAAAAAGCTTGTGTGGCAGTGTTTTTCTTGGCCATGTACTTGATGAAGGATTTAACAAGAGATGATTGGGTTTCATTAAATGGATCGGAACAAAAGCTCTTTAAGAACCTTGCCGTTGTAGTGTCTACGTGGCGATCAAATAAGTTAATCATGTTTTCAAGAAGGACATGGACATTGAATGGAAAAACTCTGCGGTCATTATTTTTAATACTAATAAAAAGATAATTACATTCATAGTTTCGATATTACTACAAGAGATAATTGTGAAATGTGGAAGAAAACTTAGTCCCATAATTTGCGTAGGCCTATTTACCTTTTTACAATAAACAAAGCAACACTCTGTCTCTATCTCTCTCTATCTCTCTCTATATATATGTAAATATATATATACATAAGCCATATACTAAATGTTAGTTCATCTGTAAAAATCGGCCATGACCCCGGGGCGTCCCTAGGGTATTTGGTACCCATGGCAGGCAGGGGCAGAAAATGTTTGTAATTTGCATTAGCCATTGCTCAAATTTGCAGGCTACTTTTAAAGACTTTGTAGTGCATCATTCGAAAGCCTGTTAAATGCCCTTTCGAGTAAAATGCAAAGAAAAAAAAAAGTATATTGGGTTTGTACTGTTAATGTCTGTGATCTGATCAGTGTAAATTCTGAGTGTTTTGAATAACTATTGAATTAATAGATAGTGGGTTTTTTGTGTGCCCTCCTTCACATGGCACCCAGGGCATCTATCCTACGGAGGGTCGGGGGAGGGAGGGGGGAGGTAATTTATATTTTAAAAAAAAACCCCACCCAATTCTCTTCCAATAACCACCATCCCTAACTGTAGGATTTGTGGCGGGGAAGGGGCTGGTCATACTAAACTTGTATCAACGGACGCCAGCGACCACTGCAGTCGTTAAATTATACTTTTTAGTTTTATGCTTAAGTGACGGTTGAGTCTCTTTAACCGCGGTTTTGTAGGCAGTCATTTTTTTCCTTTTATCCATAATTTACAGGTTACAATTTTCATAATTAAAAAGTAGAAAATAATATATATATATATATGTATGTATTATTTGAGTGGGGATCTGCTGCAATTGGGCAACAGCTGGTCTCCACAAAACACTGCCCAGGCTTAGTAGCTGTATTGGTGACGTCACTTCACGAGGGACAGAGTTTTTTAGTAAGGCAAAGAAAGTAAACAGAAGAAAGACTCGACCACTTCGCTTCGCAACATTGAATGTGAGAACCATGTGTCCTGGATGTGACACCGACATTGAACAGACTGACAACGCAAAGAAGACTGCCATTATTGACAAGGAACTCGCCAGACTAAACATTGACATTGCCTGCCTTCAAGAGACCCGATGAGCGGATAGTGGTACCATAAAGGAAGCCAGCTACACATTCTACTGGCAGGGGAAACCCGCGGATGAACCTGGGGACATGGTGTTGGATTTGCCGTGAGACATTATTGGCCTGTATTGAACCGCCTTCATTGGGATCGGAGAGGATTCTGCGACTGCGGATGTCATCTGCAGGCAAGGCCAACGTATTCTGTGTGTATGCTCCAACTCTTTATTCGACTCCAGGGGAGATAGATCTGTTCTATGAGACCCTGGACCAAGAATTATCATGTGTTCCCAATACCGAAGCATTATACATTCTGGGAGACTTTAGTACTAGGGTAGGAGCTGATCAGGAAGCCTGGCCTTCATGTCTTGGTTATCGCGGATTAGAAAGGATTAATGATAACGGATAACGTCTACTGGAGTTGTGCTGTCCCCATGGTCTCTGTGTTACGAACACATTCTTCAAGTGTAAAAAAAAAATCCAAAAAGTGTCATGGTGACACCCATGTTTCCGCCACTGGCATCAGCTGGACCTTGTCATCACTAGGCGCAGCTATCATCACACCCGCAGCTACCATAGTGCCTACTGTGACACGGACCATTCTATCGTAGCAAGCAAGATACGACTAATTCCAAAAAAAAAGCTGTATAATGCTAAGAATAAGTGCCGCCCACGAATGAACATCCAGTGCTCAAACAACCCAGAAAAAACGCAGCAATTCTCAAAAGTGTTGCGAGATACCCTTGCTAAAGGATCACACGATGGTACAATTGACTCTAAGTGGACTCATTTACGAGATGCTGTGTACAATTCAGCCATGTCCGCCTACGGTAAAATGGAGCATAAAAATAATGACTGGTACACGGCGCAATGGAATGTGATGGAAACCGTAACCGAGAAGAAGAGAAGAGCCCTACTTGCCTACAGGGATGCACTTTGTGCTCGTACACTACAAACTCTCTGAACTGAAAAAAAAAAAATCCCGGCAGATGGCCCACCATTGTGCCAACACTTACTGGCTGGACCTTTGCAGCTGTATACATTGGCTTACAACTGGGATGCAAGAAACATGTACCAGGGCATTAAGACAGCATTAGGTCCACACACTTCAAAAATAGCACCAGTCATGTCCAGACGGGTCAAATTATCCAGAACCCAAACGATCAACTCCGATACTCTACATTGAATGTAGTTGATGAGACTGCTCTGAATAATATTCACGTCTTGTCAATAATGGAAGAACTAGATGAAGAGCTAACCAAGCAGGAGCTCAAAAAAGCCATTGATTACCTTGCTGATGGGAAGGCACAAGGGATTGACGGCATGCCCCGGAAGTCATCAAAAAATGAAAAAAAACAACTATACTACTTCAGCCCTTACGCGAGCTCTTCTGTCTGTTTTTTTTAAACAGGACACATTCCCCAGGACATGAGAGACGCCAATATCGTAACATTGTACGAAAATAAAGGGGACCGGTTTGATTGTAATAGCACCGAGGAATTATCTCCGTGGCTTGGTTGGAAAGACTTTTGCCCGTGTTGCCCTTAAACGATTGCAGAGTCTGGCGAACCGCATCTACCCCTTGTCCGATTGTGGCTTCCTGAGTGAGCGCTCAACTATAGACATTATATTCTCATTACGCCAAAAGCAGGAGAAGTGTCGTGAACAGCATACGCCTCTTTATATTGCTCTCATAGATCTGACAAAGGCATTCGACTTGGTAAGTCGAAGAGGCCTTTTCAGTATCTTGCAAAGAATAGGTTGCCCCCCACGGCTGCTCACAATAATACAGTCCTTTCACAATAACATGCACAGCACGGTAAATTTCAATGGCACTGTCTCTGAGTCATTCCCAGTCAGCAGCGGAGTAAAACAGGGTTGTGTACTGGCACCAACGCTCTTCGCCATTTTCTTCTCGATACTCCTTCAATTTGCCTTCAGTGACTGTGAAAATGGAGTATACGTCCATATCAGATCTGATAGTAGGCTGTTCAATATCACCCGCCTTCGTGCAAAGACCAAAGTAAGAAAGGTGCTGATTCGTGAACTACTGTTCGCTGACGATGCCGCCTTAACATTTCACACAGAAGAAGGTCTGCAGGGGCTGGTTAATTGTCTATCACATGCTTGTAAAGAGTTTGGTCTTTCGATTAGTCTACAGAAAACTCGTGTAATGATGCAAGAAGCACCTTCGCTCCAATCATATCTATTGAGGGTCATAATCTTTCGGTTGTTGAGCATTTCACATACCTTGGATCCAATATGTCTAGTTCTCTCTCCCTTGATGAAGAGATAAATATCAGGATCGCAAAAGCAGCAGCAACTATGACTAGACTGAATAAGCGGTTGTGGAATAATCTCAATCTAACTGATAAAACAAAAGTAAGTGTCTACCAGGCATGTATCCTTAGTACGCTCCTATATGATAGCGAAGTATGGACCACGTATACTAGTCAGGAGCGTAAACTCAACAGCTTCCATATAAAATGTCTGCGTCGAATTTTACGCATTCGATGGCAGGACAAGGTGCCTAACACAGATGTCTTGGAACGTGCACAAATGTTTAGCATATTCTCCTTTCTTATCAAGAGGCCCTTCGCTGGCTAGGCTACGTAAGGAGAATGAAGGAAGGCCGTATCCAAAAGATGCTGCTGTATGGACAGTTGGCAGAAGGGACTAGACTTATTCTTCTTCTTCTATATCTTAAGGGCCCACGATCAATTTATTGATCATTTTGGCTCCTATGCATGTAGATGGGATTTGCAATGTTTCTGTTATTGGACGGCCACGTCTGAGATTTATGAACGTTTGCAAAAGGAGCATGAGGGAAGCCAATATTGAAAATAACGAATGGGAGCTCATTTCCAAACAACGTTCCAGCTGGCGAACAGCAGTGTATGAAGGAGTAAAAAAAGGCAGAAGGTACGCGAAACGAGGCACTTGCAGCAAAAAGAACAATGCGGAAGTCAAGATCTTACCAGGAATCAATATTCTTCTGCGAGAAATGCAGTCGAGAATTTCATTCTAGAATTGGCCTAGTGAGCCACTCGTCGAAGTGTAGAACTACATAGCTACTCCGTCGTCTCGCGAAGACGGAAGGATGCCATATCTATATAATATATAAAAATAAATGTTTGTATGTCTGTATGTCTCGAATGCGCTCCTACACCATTCATGCGATTGCAACAAAACTTTGGTCAGTTGTTGTCCAAATAAATGACCATTTAACTGAGTCATTAAAAACCTTATAAAGTGTTCCGTTATTAGCCGTTTGCCCTTAATTCGTTTTTTTTTCTTCTATGAACTTAGTAAAAAATATTTTCCACATGCGCTCCTACGCCATTCATCGTATTCCGATAAAACTTTGTTGATATGTTGCGAGCATGTCCATAAGGTTTCTAACTTATTACAACCGTTTTAAAATATTCAGTCTTGAGCCAGGGACCTTATATTTGTTTTTCCTAATATGAGCTATATAAATATATTTTCAAACCGTATGTGCTCCTACACCAATCATGCGATTGCTACAAAACTTAGTGAGTTGTTGTCCATGCGCAAATGCATTTTACTGTGTTATTTAAACACTTTT